AAAAAGTGAAAATAATTCGACATAATAGTTTTGTTTTCTTTTTTGTTCTTTAATTGTTCTATAAAATGATGTAAATTAATAAAAAATAAAATCAAAATCAATTGATTTCATCGTTTCATAAAGATTAATTGGAAATTTATATCATAAAACCTGTAAATTTACATATTATCAGAGTTATTTATACTGCAAATTTCAAAAAATAATTCTATTTATCATTTCGTTTCTTTTCTTTTTTCACTTTTTTTTTTCTTGCTTTAAACTATAATTTTATTTAAATTATAAAATTTTCACCGTATGAATGCAGCTAATAAATAGAACCAAATTTTATATGGAAAATATTTGAATTTGCAAAAGGAGCAAACAATTCTGAGAAAAAATCAAATATTTCTAAATCCTAAAAAAAAAAAAAAATTTTGTTTAAAAAAAACCAAAAATTGATGAAAAGCATAAAACAAAAAGAAGAATAAATAAAAACTAACCCTTTAACTTAAAAATTTTGTTGAGAAAAAAGTCTTTTTAAAAAAAAAAAAAAAAATTGGCAGGTAGTAAAATTATTTCAATCTATCCAATTAATTAATGATTAAAATATAATTTAATTACATTTTACATAATATCATCAATGAATGTAAATCAATTTTTTCAATTATTGTAAAAATAATTTTCAAAAATTACCTATTCAAGAAACACTTCCAAAATTTGCCATAAAAATAATTTTGAAATTTACACATATTATAAATTTTTAATATAATACTTCAAAAATGTTTCTTTTTTCTATTTGCATATATATCGATTGTAAATTTTAATATATTTATATAATATCAAAAATATATAATACCAAAAATATGTATAATATTTATATGATATTAAAATATAATAGTAAATTTCAATATATCACATAATATCATTTAAAATTTAAATTTCATTTCCAACTTTCTTTTCTTCCTCCACTTTTCATTTTTTTCCCTTTTTTTTTTTCACATTTCAAACTATTACAAATTTAACCAATTCCTCCTCACAAACTTTATTTTCATTCAATTTCATTTTTAAAATATTTATGAAATCATCCAATCCGTTTTAATATATTATCTTTGCTGCTTTACTTCAATATCGATTCCTCATTCTTTTGTTCAAACTCTCTTCACATTCTTCATTTTACCACCATCAATTTGCATAAGCAGCAAAAAAGGATAAACACAAATTACACACTTCAAAAATATTCATTTCCTTTTATTTCATTTTCGAATTATTATTTATTTTCATATTTATATCTAAACCAATTCAATCATTTATTATTGTTATAGAACAAATTTTTTTTTGTTTTTTTCGAAAAAAAAAGAATGAAAATGAATTAAAAAAGAAAAAATTGTTAATACTAATTGCATTTTGTTTTTTTTTTTCTTTCTTTTTTTATTATTTTACTGTTTGTTTGTTTATTTTCATTTTTATATTTTCAATTTCAATTCATTTGTTTTATTATTATTTTTTTTTTTTTTTGCATGCATTTTTCTTCCATTTTACCCTTTCATTTCATTCCTTTTTCATATATAAAATGAATTTAATATAATAAAGTAACAGTAGAAATGAAAAAAGAAAAAAAAAAAAAGAAAGGTAAATAAATGCAATATATATAAATGATAAGCTTAATCAATCCTACTGCATAATTTAACTTTTCTTTTTAAATTAATCAATTTGTTCGTTCTTTCCTTTTTCTTTCAAATTTTCCCTGCGATTTTCTTTTCTTTCTCTTTCTTTCCCTTTTCACATTTTTTTCAATTTTTATCATAAGAAATTTTCGCATTTTTTGAAATTTTATTCATAGCTAAAAAGCTAACTAAATAAACTGCTAAACGATATTATATTTTTTGATATTTCAATATTTTATAAAATTTGACATTTTATCGTTTAATATTCCAATTATCAATTTTTTTCTTACGGTTATCAAAAATTTTTTAGATTAAAATATTTAAACTTATCCAAGAAATTGTTGTAATTTAAACATTAAAATGCTTATTAACAATGAATTTAGCTGAATAAATTTCATATTTTAGTTATTATTGAATTTTATTTTTTTGAATTCCAATTAATGTAAATTTTAAATGCATAAATGTTTTGTTTTCCTATGTTTATTAACTATTATTACATAAAATTTTATTTAACTAAGTATTATCATTGAAAGATAAAAAATATTTGTGTTATAAAATAAAATTAGTTTTCTATTATTTTGATTTTTTCATTTCATATCAGTATTTATTAACATTTGTCATGTTTAATTAATTAATTAAATGATATAATCAGTATTTATTATTCTTCCATTCAATAATTTAATCAAATTTAATTCAGTATTTTTTATAACTTTTCTTTTCTTGGTAATTGATATTATTATTGGCTGTTGTTATTACTATTAACATTATCATTATCATTAATTTTTTTTTTTTTAATGGCGTAAATATTGATCTTGAAATATTATAAAATAATTTTATTGACAATAAAGTCAAATATCATTATTATTACTTCGATAGATGCATGCATGCATGCATCACAATCATTTGAGTAAGTACATGCAAAGTTTTATTTTTGGAAAAATAAAAATAAATAAAATAATTAAGCAGAAAAAAAAAAGTTCACAAATAAATAGAAAAGTTTGCCTGAAAAAAAAATTCAGAATTATATTCATATAATGCTTCAATTCATTTAATTTTCAATATTATTCGGATAATAATTTAAATATTTTCTTGCAAAAAAAAAAAAAAAAAAAAAAAAACATCGTAATAAATAAATAATTAATAATGGTAACTAAATAAAAATATATTAAGAAATAAATAGAAATGAAGTATATATTTTAAACCTAGAAAAAAAAAAAAAAAAAAAAAAAACTAAATTTGCTGAGTAAAAAATTACTAAAAATTTGCTTAATTATAATTTAAATTTATTAATTTCGTTGAGTTTTAATAATAATTTCTCAATTTATAACAAAAATAAAATAAAATGGATACTATTAATGAATTTATTACAAAATAAATAATATTTTGTTTTTTGTTTTTTTTTTCATCCATCATATTATAATAATTAAAATTCAAACACTAAAAAGGTATGCGTAAGAGTAATTTTTAACGGAATTTTTTTTATAAAATGAATCATTGAAGAAAAAAAATTCTTTTTTTTTTTTATCCAATTAAAAATTAAATAAAAAAAATGATTAAAAAAGAAAAAAAGTTCAATTGAATATAAAATGTTTTCAAACTTTTTTCTATTACTTATGCTATTTACCCTCCTTACCGTAATTTAAATTTGAAAAGAAAGAAAAGAAGAAAGATTGTTAATTGTTGATCAAAAATTCATCAACAATTAATTGACAACAATTAATTGATAATTCAAAATTGAAAAAGAAAAATAATTGTATGATAAAAGGAAGAAAAAAAGAAAGGGAAAGAGAGAGAGAGAGGGACAGAGAGTAAGAAGAAAGAGAATAAAAGAACAAAAAGAAGAAAAGACAGGTATAATGAATGAGATTTAAAAAAAAAAATTAATTATGTTTTTGCAGACGAAAAAAATATGAAAGAAAGAAATGAAAAAAAAAAAGCGAAAACAGGCATATAATTCATAATGATAGAATAAAAAATTATTATTATTATTTTGAGAGAAAAGAAAAATAAATAAAATATCAAAAAAAAAAAAAAAAAAAGGAAAGAAATGGAAATTCAACCAAGCGGAATGTTTTTTTTTTTTAAATAAATGAATTGAAAAAAAAAAATTTTTTTTTTTTATTGTCAAATTTTCATTCATTTTTTTTTCTTTTCGTTTATTTTCTTTTTTTTTTATGTTTTTCAAAATTTGTCGCCTTTTTCTATTTAATTTGTACTACTTTTTTCTCTCTTTTTTTTTTGCTATTTCTTTTGAATAATTGTTTATTTATTCATTTTTCTTTTTTCGTTTTGTTTTGTTTTTTGTTTTTCTTTTTTTTTTTTTTTTTTTTTTTTTTTTTTGAAATTTATAAGTTAAAAGTATTATTATATTTTTTCCTTTTTGAAATTTAAAATTTAAATTATATCAGAATGCAAAATTATCAATAAACATAACATATAATTTCACATACAACGCATACACAGGCATTCATGCAGACACACACGTACACGTATACGTGGACATACACGAACACACACATACGTAACATACACAAACATGCACATTTATATACTATAATTTGTAATATATGGAATAAAGTTCTTGAAAAAGAAAAAAATTTATAAGAAATTTACAAATTGTATTACTCATTTATGCTAACTAATAGTTAGTTACCTTCCTTCTTTTTTCTTTCTTTCTTTCACTAAGCTTATTATATATATCAGCTTTGGTCGTTTCAAAAAAATCGAAATTCAAAAATTAAATATGCTAATTATTTAAGCCTCTTTTTTTTTTTTTCTAATCCTTTTCATCATTTTCATTTATTATTTATTTGTTTATTTCTTTATTTTTATACATGTCATCGCGTTTTGTTCCTTTTCTTTCTTTTATTTTTTTTTTTTGCTTAAAATTAGCATATTTTTAATAAATTATAGATTAACTTAATTCTTTCCTTTTATTTTTAGTAATTATATCTTTTTCTCTTTTCATCTAAGACAAGAAAGGAGAGACAGAGAGACAGGGAGAGAGAGAGAGAAAGGGAAAAAGAAAAAAGGAAGAAATTTGATATGTAACAAATCGCAGTTGCAGTTTTCATCATTTTCACAACATACACACTTTTTTTTTTTGAGTAACTTTGACATTTAAATTATTCTTGTATTTAATAAAAAAACGAATTACAAAACTAATATTATTAGCAATTTTTAATTCAATAAAATTATAAAATTTCTATTTTTTTTAATTATTTTTAATCATTATTTACTAACATTAATTTCTTTATTTTTTCTCAACCTATTAATTAATTAACGTCTATTTACTTCTTTTTTCTTTTCTTTTTTTTTTTTTTCTTGATATTAATTAATTTTTCTAGAAGTAATATTATGGATAGTGAATATCGTGTTATTCTAAATGTTGGTGGTGTACGACATGAAACATATAAACATACACTTAAAAAAATTCCGGCTACACGTTTAAGTCGTTTAACGCAAAATTTGGCTAATTATGATCCGGTTCTTAATGAATACTTCTTTGATCGTCATCCTGGCGTTTTTGCGCTTATTTTAAATTATTATCGTACTGGTAAATTACATTATCCATTGGATGTTTGTGGACCACTTTTTGAGGAAGAATTAAAGGTATATTATTTGCTTACTTATTTTTGAATTCTTATTTTTTTGATCATTTTTTACGAAAATAAGAAAAATAAAATAAAATATATTTATGGGCAAATTTTTATTATAATTTATTCTTTAGTTTTTATTCTATATTTTATTTTAATAGTTTATTTATTTATTTATCTATTTTTTAATTTTTTTGATTATCTTATACGAAAATAAGAAATTTTTATTTGATTAGATAGCTTATTTGTGACTATATGATTAGGAAAATTTGAAATAATTTTGCTATTTTTTTTTTCTCTACTTCATTAAAAACTTTATTACAACATTTTTATTAATTATCAAATTCAGTGAGAAATTGTGTTTTAACAATAATAGGATTTCAATAGTTGAATTAATTAGTTATGAAATTTAAATTTAATAAGAAGCAATATTGAATGAGAATGAAATAAAGTGAGATAATGTATGGTTATTAAGTAATTCATTAATTAAAAAATAAATTCTTAACTTATGCAAATAATACTTTTATCTTTATTACATCGAATATTAAATATGCTAATTAATGCTTATCATATTTCAGTATTGGGGTTTAGATGCTAATGAAGTTGAGCCATGTTGTTGGATGACATACACACAACATCGTGACACACAAGAAGTGTTGACCACTCTCGACAAACTTGACATCGATTTTGATGAAAATCGCCTAAAAGATCCGGAAGAAGTCTATCGGCGGTATATTTATTTATTTACTTATTTATTGTATTATATCATTTATTTATTTATTTATTCCGTTTGTTTGCCCACTTATTTATTTGTTTACTTATTTGCTGTATTATATCATTTATTTAATAAATTTATTTGTTCATTTACTTATTTGTTTATTCATTCGGTATCTTACTACATTATTTATTCGTTTTTTATTTGTTTGTTTATTCATTTATTTATTTATCTATTTATTGACATATCTATTTTAAGGCTTACTACATTAGTTATTTAGACATTTATGAAATTTTCTATAAAAAACCAACTAAATTTCACTACTTTAAACAAATAAATATCATGCATATTTCATTGCTATATTATAGTTTTAAACATTAAATGAAAAATTAAAACTGCAAAATTATTTTAAATTTCAGATATTAACGATGAAAAATGAAAAAATATCTTTGTTTAAAATTTGTGTATGTTTATAAGGCTGTACAATTTTGACGATAATTTTAATGTGTTATTTTTGAAAATAAAGCTTCAATTCTATTTTCTTTTATAATTTAATCCACATTTTATTTTTTGTGTGTTTTTTTTTAAAAAAAAAAAAAAAAAAAACAAAATATTGCAGAAAATTTTAATTTTTCTTTTCATTTTTTTAAGATTTGGTTGGGAGGATGATTATCATAATCAATCACTATCAAAATGGCAAAAATTAAAACCAAAAATTTGGCATTTATTCGATGAGCCTTATTCATCTCATGGAGCAAAAGTTTGTTCATTTCATTTGTTTTTATCTTTTTTATTCGTTTCTTTTTTTTTTTTTTTGTTTTTGTTTTTTTGGTTTATCACAATTTATAACAAATTTGTGTTTTTCAAAAGTTTTCATCAATTTTTTCTTTTCAGCATTGAAATTAAATTAATTGCAAAAGATTTTAAATTGGCTGAAAAACAAATAAATTGTCAGTTGAAGCAAAAAATCTCTAAAAACTTAATTTGAGCAAAACAAAAAAAAAAAAAAAAATTTATTCATAGTGTATTTTTCTTCTTGAATTCAAAAATAAGTAATTACTAGGTGAGTAAATAAGATTAAAGTATTATAATTTAGCAACAAAGTAAATTTGGAAAAAAATAATTAATTAGATAATAGTTTAGAAGAAATGAATTTAGTGTATCATCGTGTTTAGATTCAAATTTAAACTATATTTTATATTTTTATTTTTGATTTTTTATATTTTATTTTACAAATAATATCTATTTGAATCTCTTATTTAAATTGATTTTATTGTATTATTTGTTTCTTCTTTTATGACAATTAATTAAAAAAAAAAATAATAATGAATAAAAAGTTTTTTTTTCTTTTTTTAAAAAAAGGAATTAAATGAAATACTTTTGATAAGTTTAACTTTTTCGTCTTTCCTTTTTTTTTACTTTATATTTATAAATTTTGTAAATTTTTTTTTTTTTGCAAATTTTGTAAAAATAGTTACATACTCACAATTTATTTATGAGTATGTAACTATTTAAAATTATGTTTTGTTTGTTTGTTTGTTTATTTCAGGTAATTGCAGTTGTATCAGTTTTCTTTTTAATAATAGCAATCATCGTTTTTTGTCTTAAAACACATCCCGGTTTACGGGTTGCCGAATTGAATGATATGCAAATTAATATTACTTCCGGTCGTTATTATCGTTCTGTTGGTTTTTCAAATAAATATCGTACCGGAGCAATTGGTATTGATAAACTAAATTCCAAACCACATCCGGGTTTTTTGGTAAATTCATTTCTAAATTTTTAATATATGTATTTTGTTTTCTTGAAACTTGTTGTTAATATTATCGTTTTCTTTTTTTTTTTTTTTTCGAACTAATTTTTTACTTTTTCTTTTATTTTTAAATTTTTATTATAATTGATTTAAACAAATAAAAATTAATTCTCATTATTTCAGATAGTTGAAGCAATATGTAATGTATGGTTTACAATAGAAATATTAATTCGATTTATAACTTGCCCTAGCAAAATTAAATATTTTAAAACACCGGTAAGCTAATAATTTATGAAAAAGAAATGGATGATTAAGCATTCAAATTCTAATATATATTTACCTGGCTTATAAAAATAGACAAAAAAAGACAAATTGAAACTTTCACCTTACTTTTTTTTTGAAAAAAAAAAAAACATTATTATTTCAATTTAAGTATCATTGTTCACTTTTCCTTTCAAATTAGAAAAAATAAAAATAAATTTTAAATTATTTCTTTGTTTTTTATTAGTAATATTTACAGAAAAAAGGAAAAAAAAATGTTATATATATATATTAAAATAAATTATGCTAGCATTTTAATTCAACCTTTTTTTTTTTTTTTTTTTTTTAATTTTAAATTTATATTATTCACAGGTGAATATAATAGATTTGATAGCTACACTAACATTTTATTTGGATTTACTAATGACAACATACGGTTCAACAGCAGATCTCGAATTCTTTTCAATTATTCGAATTATGCGTCTATTCAAACTTACCCAACATTCTAGTGGCCTCAAAATTCTCATGCATACTTTCAGGTTTTGCTTTTTTAATTAATTAATTCAAAACTTATCAAACATTCTCGGTTTTTTAATTAATATTATGACAATTCAATATTACGATAATCCAAAACTTACCCAACATTTTAGGTTTTCTAATTAATATTACGATAATCCAAAACTTACCCAACATTCTAGGTTTTCTAATTAATATTACGATAATCCAAAACTTACCCAACATTTTAGGTTTTCTAATTAATATTACGATAATTCAGAATTTCCAAACATTTTAGGTTTTTCAATTAATATTACAAGAATACAATACTTGCCCAACATTCTAGGTTTTTTAATTAATATTACAATAACTCAAAACTTGCCCGACATTCCAAGTGTTTTAGCTAATATTACAATAATTCAATACTTGCCAAATATTCTGACTTTTTTAAATAATATTACAATAATTCAGAACTTGCCCAACATTCCAGGTTTTTTAATTAATAATACGATAATTCAGAATTTACCAAACAATCTAGTTGCCTCATAACTATTATTCATACCTTAAAAATTTTTAATTAATATTACAATAATTAGTCATGCGTGTCATTTTGATGATAATATTTGTTTTCTTTTAAGTTATTTTTAATATATAACCATTCATGCGTATACGTACATAAACATTTTAATTACATCCATTTAATAATTATGGATGTAATTAAAATGTTTATTTATTCAAAACTTTTATTTATTCAAATATTTGCATTGACATTTTCATTATTATACACACATTTACTAACTATAATCATTTCATTTAATAATTATACAAAATAAAAATAAAATTTTAAAAATTGAATAAATAATTTTAAATAAATAAAAAATTTTTCATTTAGAGCAAGTGCTAAAGAATTAATGTTATTGGTATTTTTTCTTGTTCTTGGTATTGTCGTATTTGCATCATTGGTTTATTATGCAGAACGAATTGAAGTAAATCCTGAAAATCAATTTCAAAGTATTCCATTGGGTTTATGGTGGGCTGTAAGTGAATAATATATTTTGTTTTGTTTTGTTTTGTTTTTTTTTTTTTTTCGAATTTTTTTAGTTTTCTTTTTTTATTGATAAATCATAAAGTTTGCTTGTTTGTTTGTTTGTTTTTATTTTAAATTTTATGGCTTTTTTTCATGATAATTCATAATATCTGCTTTTTTCTTTTCATTTCTCAAAGGAGAAAGATATTTTTGACAATTCATTTTATGACTTTTCTTTTTTTTTAAAAAAAAAAATTCCTCTTATAAAATGTAAAATAGTAATAAATGAAATGGAAAATTTTCGATCATAAATAATTAAAAATTAAAATTAAATTATTTTTATTAAACAACCAAACAAATATATGCATATATATATATTTGTTTATTAATTTACTTTTTTTTATTCTAGATAGTGACAATGACAACAATTGGTTATGGTGATATGACACCACATACATATTTGGGACGTATTATTGGTTCAGTATGTGCAGTTGCTGGTGTTCTAACTATTGCGTTACCTGTTCCTGTAAACATTTCAACTTTATATCATTAAGAATACAAAGAATAATAATTAATAATGATAATGATAATATAATAGTAACAATGATAACATAATAATACCTGTAATAATGATAATAATTATTACAATAATAATTATAAAATGTATAATAATAATAATAGTATGTACAATAATAATAGTGATAATATTTTCTAATAATATTTTTTTATAATAATAACAGTAATGATAATGATAATGGTAATGATAATAATAATAATAATAATAATAATAATAATAATAATAATAACAATAATTAACAGTGGTAATAGTAATATAATAATGAAAATGATGAAATGAAAATATTTTATAAGGCGAAAAAAAAAATCACAAATTTATATAAATATTTTGAGCTGTAAATTATTAATCACATCGACAGATCAATTGATAGAAATAAGATTTATTCGAATTGATCAATTATTATTATTCCCTCTATATCATTATCCATTTCCTCCATATTTACATATATTATATTGTAATAGTTAATTATATTTGTACTTAAATTATATTCTTTTCAATGATTATTTACTAACCTTCAAGTTATTGATTAAATCAAATATCAAATTAATATATTATTAAATTAAATTAATATAATGGTTCTATTTATTCTTTTTCTTTCATTCTTTTCTATTTCAGGTAATAGTCAGTAATTTTGCTCTATTTTACTCTCATACACAAGCTCGTTCTAAATTACCCAAAAAACGTCGTGGTGTACTAAGTATTGATCAGGTAGGCTTTTTATTTTCGTTTTCTTCTTTTTTTTTTTTTTTTATTTCATTAGTATAGTTTTTCATATAAAAGGAAAAAAAAAGAGAGAAAAGAAGGAAATAATCACTGAAATATGTATAAATTATGCATTGAAATAGCGAAAAAAAAAATCCTGAAAAAAATTTCAAATATTTCAATATTTTATCATTTTTTCATTGCTAATAAAATAGTAACTCAAAAAAAAAAGAATCTCCTCTCTTTTCACTCAAATTTATTGCAATAACTTATTTAAATAATTGTGAAGAAACATGAAAAGTTTAGATTTTGAAAATAAAAAAGGAAGCATAATTTAGAAAAGTAAAGCAGCAAGCTTTCTCATAAAATTTCAGGTAAAACAACAACCGGTTATGGCACAAAAACGTGTTCAGGTGTTACGTGAAAAACAACCGGTAAAAGAACCATTAATGGTAAAACACAATGGTCCACCTGATACAACAACAAAATGAAAGAACTATTGCTTGCATTTTATAAATTGCACTCTAATGTAAGCTTTCTCTTTCTTCATTTAAGTTGCAATATCTTACAAATAAGTCTCTTCAAGCAATTAATTAACAGTTTCAAAATCATTTTAGGATTATTTTATCGCATATTAATATTTTCATTTCATATTATCCTTAACCATTGGAAAAACAAGAGAGAAAAAAAAGAAAGAAATCATTTCTTTATTTCACTGTTGCATTTCAGAAATAATCAAGGAGATAACAAATGAATTTTATCACTGTTATCAATCCTGTTGTTCATGCATATTGCATATCAAATTCTGCTCAGCATCAGATCATGAAAATTTTCAACGAAAATCACAGAAATTCCAATTTTAGAAACTAACAAAAGGCGATTGATCAATTCATAATACAAAATAAAGTATATTGCAGTCCATGGAAGCAAATTTATGAATGTATGAACTATAATTAACTATGCTATTTTATTTGGACCAAAAAAAAAAAAAAAAAAAAAAAAGAAATTTGACCAAATCGATTTCATCAAATAGCTAAATATAAGTATTCTAGGAAGCATCGAATTAATTTCAGTTATTCCATTATTCATTTAAGTTATACGAATTTCATTATGCTTCTAGTAATAACTGTACTCTTTCACCTAGAATTCGATGTAAAGCAAGTAAATTTTCCTAGTAACTTATAGTAAAAGTATTATAAAGGTACTGGAATGTAGGTCTTTCCTTTTGAAATCGTACCATTCTTTATCAAATCGTACTTAATACTGATGTTTATAATATTCACATAAATCTTAAAATGCAATTCCGATTTTGTCGACTTTTCTTTTCTTTCTGATGTTCCTCATTTTCTATATGAAATATGTACCAGTTTTCAGGGAGAAATTCCAGTACTACGTTTTAATTTTATGAATATGAACTGATTACAAGTGCTTAAATAATGCCATATGTTATCGATCAATGCAATAAAGCTTGTTCTACTTTGGCTTTTTCAAATTCAAAAAATAAGATACCAATATGTAACTTCTATAAATTATTCTATAAATACATCAGCAAATATATTCATGTTATATACTGCAGTAGAAAGATTTATCTCTAGACAAAAACAATACCACAAAAAAAACTGGAAATTTATGAAAATGGAATAAAATGGAATACAACGTATGCAATCTGAACTGTAAGTTGGTCAGAAAAAAATTTCAAATGTCCATAAAAGTAAATAATTCAAATTGATATTAAAACAGACTGCAGTTAACTTTCCATTGTGTAACTAGTACTAAAAAAACAAATGACAAAACTTCATTTTTTTTTCTTTCTTTTTTGAAGGAAAATAATATAGAAATAAGCAAAAGGTTGCTTACTGAACAAAACAGTAACGCTGCAACAGTAATACACATTCCGAATGTCATGATGACGGTATTATTAATTGAAGTTATTGAGCTGTAAAGAAATAACAGCTGAAAAGAATGTTAAAATGAAAAAAAAAAAAAAAAAAAAAAAACCTATGGAACCTGAAATATATTATCAGGATAAATAATTACTAAGAATCTTAGGTTCTCACAAAACAAAAATAACCGAACCAAGAAATAAATGGACAGGAAATGATGTATCAAAAAATCACATTTCCTAAAACAAACTAGAATTGGCTGATGAAGATTTTCTTCTAGTAAGAATGAAGCTCCTCCAAATACTACAATATTTCATTTTATAATCATATTATCATTTTTACAAAGATAATATATTTCTTCCATGGGTAATGAATAATCACTTAATCACTGCTGAATTCCTAAATCATCCCGTGTTAAAAATTGGAGCCATTTGTAAAATAAACTTCACAAGAACACTTACTCGAAACCTTTATATCATTAATCATCATCGTCATGGAAGTCACCATCCTGATCAATTTCAGCTTCATCACCTGGTGGCTCACTGTCACTACGACTATTATCCTTACCTGTTTCTTGCTCATCCTCATCCACTTGTTTTCGCCCTTTTCTTTCATCGCCATTCATACATTCTTCTCCGAAGTTCTAAAACAGAAAAGGAAAAAAAAGTGTGTGAAATATTCAAAAATATTTCATGTAAATTGGAGGTTAAATTTTGCAATTGTTTAAAATTAATTTTAACAATAGAATGGTAATATACGAGTTTTTCAGCATTAAATTCAGGAATAATTTAAAAAAAAAGGCACCGAAATTACACTTACTTCCGTTTATTAAATTATTATCGGTATAATCAAAATACTAGGCATGATAAGATAGCTAACTCTGAAAAATACCTGCAGTGAAGATTCCATGGATACTCCTCCCACTATTTCTGTTTCCTTAATTTCATCATCATCCAACTTTTTGTCGCCAATTTCACTATCTGAAGGCTTATTTGCTTCTGTTGTGTTCGATTTTGCGGTAGAGCGCTTTGCTGCTGAAGTTTCAGAATGTTCACCATCAGATTCGCCCTCATCCACTTGTTTGTCTTCTGGTATTTTCAAATCAGCCTCCATTTGTTGCCGACGATGATCAATAAGCTCTGCAAATGAAAACTGAAAATCACATTAAAAACTTTATGAAAGTAATTTATTATCGTTAAAATCTCTTTTAACACATGTTCTACAACAAATGACACAAATATTTCTGTCAAAAACATATGACAAGTACCATCAATCTTCTTTGAAGATACTTTCAGTAGTTCGAGAGTTCGTAATGTGTGTTTTGCGGGCAAATAAAATACAGGTGGCTTTGCTTGAGTCTGGATAAAATTCTGCAATTTGCGATAATGCTCCTGTTTTTGCTCTGCCTGAAAGAGAACACCAGTAAACTATTTCATACAATTTATTACAACAAAGTACTAATCAAATATCTTTTAGTCTAATAAATCCGAGTTGTTTTGTTATTGTATAATCCATTTCTAAGGAGTATTATCAAAAGGAATACCAGATTTGCGAGATTTATCTTGCTTAAATCCAATCAAAAATAAAAAAAGAAAAAGAATTTTTCCTGTTTTCTACTTGTTATTTTTGCAAATCAATAAAGTAACATGCTCTTTGTGAAATAACTTTAGAGCCTTTTCTAATTCCACACTCCGACGGAATTTTGAATCGGGAAAAACAATAAGTTCTAGAGCATTGAAACGATAATAATTATCTATTTTTAATCTACACTTCCTCACAAAACGACACAAAATTAATTGGCATGTATTTTACTTTTGGAGCTACCTCTTCTTTTGAAACTTACATATTGTATAATCGCTTTCCTTCGCTGCAACGATTTGATCAAACGTTCCTTTTCACGTCGTTTTACAAGTAGGGCAGCTTTCTCTCTAGCTAATCTTTCGCGTTCTTCTTCTTCAGATTCCCTTAAACGCCTTTCAACTTCCTTTTGTTTTTCAGCCTGCAAATTTGGTATACTAAATTATTGGAAAAATTATGCGGTTAAATATATAAACAAATTACAAATGATACCTGAACTTTTTCAACATTCGATATTTTCTTTTCCTCCATTTGAAAACGCTGCAAAGTTCCAAGCAACAAATTCGAAAACATTCGGCGATTCCTAAAAATTATCAAATTAAACTATCATGTCCCATTTTTAACTTTTTTTTTAAATGTATTTTCTAAATACTAAATGACCATGTATTTTTGTTTCAAAATGTATATTTCTGTTCCGAACATATATTAATATAAATTAAAGCAGGATATAAATCTATCAGATCTCAACTACATTATTAGCCAAAACAACGAGTCAACCGCACAGTTTACATGCAGAAGTTATTTGTGTTTCAATGCCGAATTCTAAATTCTTGATCAAAATTATTTGAATTAATTCTTTGAAGGTAATGTAAAGCCGACTGAAAAAATTCATCCTAACTGACTTCATGAAGCATTAATTAAGAAATCTATAACCCCGAAGCTTTCCAAATCTAAGAAATGCTATCAAACACCTGAAATGGCAAAATAGATTTAATTTTCGTTGTTAAAATTGACAACCATGATCTTCATTCCTTTATCTTCACTCTTGATTTAACGCGACTACGCTTCTTATCAATCCGTTATTGCCTTATTCATAGGAATGAATCTTAAAAGCTTTCCCTATACATATTTGTAATAACTATAAAATATCATACAAAATCTAACCTGACATTAACTTCCTTCTTTTCTGCTCCTTTCAGCTCAGATATAGCAGCTTTACGTGATTTTGTCTCAATAGCAGGCATAACAACTGATGACTGCACGGTACGTCGTACAGCCTCGTCTTCTCTGTCATCATATCGTGCCCGCTTGTCCGAACCCTCGTATAAACTGTAAATCATTCCTTTCTGTTAAATTTTTATGAGTGCATCAAGCACAACTAGTTCAAATAATAAAAAAACTTACTCATTTTCAGCAGATATAACTAGACGACGTTTATTCGGTCCCGAAGAATCCAAGCTTACTACACGTGCATCGCGTCTGCAAAATAACTCTTCGCATAAGTTCTAAAAGTGATAGAATCAATGAAATGATAAACACACCTTTCAAATCCGTAATTACCAAGACGGCCACTAGAATCCAGAATACGTCTCCTGCCCGTACCAAACCTTTAAAATCAAAAGTGTTCGGAAAAAAACAAAAATTCAACATAAATATTTCTCTGTAGAAATTCTTTATATAATAAAATTTATTTAATGCTCAAGTTCATTGGGAATCTTGAAAAAAAGAAGAGCTACAAAAATTTCCTTCTCCTTACCCGCAAACAAACAACAACCTTTAAAATCAAAGTGATTTGCAAAAAAAAAAAAAACTAAAAGAAGTCTAAGAAGTGATAAGCACTTTATTCACTTAAAAAAATAACCCTAAAAAGTTACCTTTCCTTTCCCGACAATGAAATGATTGATTCCTCGATAGTCCGTAAATCGTCGTATGCCTTCGATATATCAGCGCTTAATGTATCTAATTCCATCATTTTTCTGCAAAAAGAACACAAAATTTCAAAAACTCCTACTAAAAAAAACCAATATACTATTGTGTAGTGACATAGATATGGTCGCTATTACAACTTAAACATCATAAAAAAAAATTAAAATTATAAAATGCTAAGAAACAAAATACTCATTTCTATCAACAATAGTGATAAAAGCATAAAAAACTTCTAGAATTCACCCCTCTGAATCATTCTCATCAATTTCAAGATATATACTAATTCAATTTTTTTTTTTTTACCATCTCCGCACCTTTCATTCCACTTCTTTCTTTTCCAGTCATCAAACCATGGAATACCACAATTTGTAATTTATACAAAAATAATCTAGTTTTATCTTAATTTTAATTCGTGTAAGCTTTTCGTTTTTCCTTTCTCAATTGAAATAAAATTTTTTGTTGAAAACTTTTAACTAATTTTTAGCATACATTTCTATGATTCGTTTTTTTTTTTTTTTTTTTTTTTGGAAAAAAATATTCGAGAAAGAAACAAAAAAAAAAGCGCGTCAAATATACCTAATTAACTACGAACAACAAACAATCTCAAACCTAATTCTTCCTTCCTTTACCTATCTGTTTAGTCATGCATGCTGGGAAATCTGCCAGCAATCTTCACAATTCAACTGCTGCAGCACAAAAACTCAAATAGCACTTCTCGTCAAACCGTTTCTTTACTATGTTTATATTAGGTAGGCATTTTAATATAAAATATAAGTGAATTGTGCAAATAATACATTGTTATTTGATTAAATCAAATTTATCAAAGTAATTTATATGCGTGAAATACATTGAAAAAAAAAAGGACATTAGAATCAAAAATTAAATCATATGATGCTGAAATCAAAAATTAAATCATATGATGAAATTAATTATAGGTTTGATAGATTTGTCACATATTATCATATTTTTATTCGTCCTCGTGATCATCCGTCATTCCTTCATACATTTCACCTACGTCTTCTTCATCATTTGCATCTTCCTCGTTTGGTGCCCACCACAATACACATCCTAATCCAGTTTCAGCCATTGATCCGATAATTTGATATGATTTCTCTCGTTTCAATTCATCCTGGTTACTATTAGGATCTACATCTCTGGAATATCAAAATTACTGCTCCATGAAATTTTTACTTTTCAATAATCTAGTTGTCAACCTATGTATTTTCCTTCATATGACTCATGTTTTCTCTCTCATCTCTTCTAAAATTGATTGATGCAACTATATTTTACTACATCACTCATGATCACTGATATTTTAAGCGTATCTCTTAGACAAACACTCCAAACTGATAATTGTTATTACTAGTCCATAATGCTATTTTTCGTAAACACAAAAGATTTAGAAAATAATTTTACTTCAGATTTTGGAAGCCTACTTTAAGGCTTCATCTACGTTAAGGGTGAAAGTATTCTGTAATGAGTGTAATTCTGTAATCTGTAATGAGAAAGAAATCACTTGAAAATATTGTCAATAACTCGGAACCGAACAGTTTTACCAGGATCCATATACAGTTTTGCAGACTGCCCATCTTCAGGTTGATAATCCCAGTACCAAATCTGCAATTAAACGAAAATTTTCCATTCTGATAGAATAAAACCTAAAAAGAAAAGTGACAGTTTAAGCACAATATTACATCAAAAAAAAAGAAAGAAAAACCACACATTATGCAAAAAAGAATGCTTATATTAATTGTTACTTTTGCATTTCCCTTCCTGTGTATAATGACTAAGAAATTTAATTTTTCAACCTGCTCTTCCTCTTCGAAAATAGACGGTTGTGGCAGACGATGTGCCGGTATAAAGATATCCTCGAAAAATATTACTGATAACATCAATCCTTCTGCATTACTTGATAACACTTTTGCTTCAATGATTTCATCAATAAAAGGTCGAAATACAACATAACGAAACTGAAACAATCCAAAATTCATCATGTTAATTGCAAACAAATCAGACATTTATTATTGATTAAGCATTTTCCAATTTTACTTTTCCAGTGCTATCTTAATTGTCCAATATTTGAACATTTTTCATAGTAAATGAATAGCTTAAAAAGAAAAAATTTCTTCCACTCCATTCACTGACATATTTAAACAAACAGTGAAATCCAATATTCTTCAAATATGATATTGTTCCATTTCAAATAATAATTAATATGGCTAGGGATTGTTATAAAATCGCAGGAATATTTCATAAATTCAACTTCAAATTTCAAAAACAACTAAAGTTCAGTTTACCTTAACTTTTGTATGCGTGCTGCCATCACCCGGTAGTATATACGAAACACCAACATCAAGGAGATCATAAATTATAATACAAAGACCTAACCCTGGGACGATTTTGTTAGCGAGTTGTTCATTCAGACGTTTCATTAACATCTAAAAATAATTAAAATCATCATCTTTAAAATCTATTTCGCTAACGGTGCAATGGATGCATCAGATACATCAAGAATTTGACAAAATTTGCCTTTTGTCAAATTCCATTTTCACCCAGCTATATTATAATTTGAATGTAATTGATTAAGGTAACACAGTAGAAAATAATTAATAATTAAAAAAAAGTAAAAATAATCAACTCAATTACTACCAACTAACTTGTCAAAAATCATTCCCTTACTGTCAAAATATTGTTATAATCTCACATTATGTAAGATATTTAAAAGAAATATTTAAAAAGTCGAACAAATTATTTGACTATTTCATTTTCTCTTTGTGCAAAACATACTACTAAGTCATATCAGAAGATATGCAAAAGATTTACCGGTTCAAAAGATTCGCCGAACTGATGCGGTTTAATTCGTACAGTATCTTCCAACACAGCCAATACAAACATAGCCCTATATTAATTTTGTTGCTGGGCAAAAGTTGTTGAAATTTTTGCATATGACCGATTACGTTTACTTGGGATGGAAAAATGTTCCAAATCCGCAAAATATAAACCTGCAAATAGTCCATTAAAGATAAATAAATAAGATAATCAAAATTAAATATCAACATTTAAAAAGACTGACAGTAATAAATAAGACAGTAATTTATATTTGTCTATGATGATAAATAATGCCTAAAACAAACATACATAATCAAAGAGATTAAATATTGACCAAAGCACTATTACTCTTTTTGATTACACTAATTAAAAACGACAGTTTAATTACGAATTCTACCTCATTTCTTCGCATAAAGGGAACACTTACATTAAAACTGTATCAGAATCATGTTAGAATTGCCATTTTCGAACAGAAGTTTTGCAGAAAATTATAACTGCGTTAAGAAAATTAAATTCGCAAATGTATCATCATAATTTATTGTTTGAGTAAATAAACTTCAACCACCAATTATCAATTAAAGAAACTCTATAATTAATATGAAATTTCGAAAATTTATTTAGCAGAAAATCAAGAGACCACAAACATAATACATGTACATATATGAAAATAAAATTTGCACCTTTATCTTTTCTTTTCTTCCAAATTTCACATTAACTGAAAAAATTAACGCAATATAAAAGCAAAGCATTCACTTATGTCGTTCTTATACATTAGTTTTTCCATGACGTCAATTCGTAGGTATTTTTCTACTTTTCAAAAAAAAAAAAACAAGAGTAAGAAATCAAAAAAAAAAAGTTGCGTGACAATTTAAAATTTAAAAAACATGTTCACGTAAATATGATCTTTACTTGAAATGTTTTGGTGGTAATAAGTGACTTAACTAACTGTCCAAAGAATACAATTTTATGACGTCAAATGACGTCCATATGTAGTGAATATTCCAAATATACAAAACTGAAATTGACTTCCTGGATTATTATACAATAATTAAAGCCTATAGAAGCATAATTTATAACTCTTTACTACCGACTCGAATTACAGGATAAAATCTCTTTATTTTCAAAAAAAGGACTGCAGGTATACTTACATAATTAGCATCTTTCAAAATATTTGTTTCAGTTATTTTAAAAACAAACGTTACTTGCACACTGATAAGAAAAATTATTTTGCAAAAACAAGTTACATACAACCAATAAAATCAGTAAAATTTAAAGTATATAATACAAGTGGAACAAGATAAAAGCAGGTGGAAAAGCTACAATTGTAATTGTTCTGCAAACAACTCTTCTATCGAAATGACCTAAAAAAGAATATTGTATGCAATTTATTCATTCAAGAAAAAATAAAAGAAAAAGATTAGTTACTTTCTACCACTTCTGATATCTTATTATTCATTTCTCATCTAGATTAACCTTTTGTATTATATAGATGACTTTGCTAGAAAAATCACATTACTTCAATTCAAATGAACTGGAAAATAGATAAATAATATTCAATAAGTAAAATCATCTTAATTCAACTGCTCATCCAGTTTATAACTACAAAATAAATCAGAAAAAAGTTATAAAATATTTTTTTATCTCTCAACCTTATTTGATATAAGTAGGCGTGTATGTTTATTCGCTTGCTTTCGATCCTTCGCCTCTTCACAATTTTCATTGAAAACCTGAAAATCAAATTCAATCAATAATTAAAATTATAAAATAAATAAACTTCATACAAAGCGGAAATTTCCAATAAAAGCAGATCATAATAAATTTAATTGAAATTCTTTCAAATAAAATTACTAGTAACCGTGAAATCAGCTCGATGTGTTTCATTTCTTTTTTTTGGTATACCATCAATTCGTGCATCGCTCCATTTCGTTGGATCCCAACTGTTTTGCACAAATGCTACATGAGCTAAGTTATCACCGAAATTTTTTGGTACCAGCAAATTTTCATCATCAAATCTTTCTTCACCCTAAATCAGAACTTTTTTTTAAACTGCCCCGAGAATCTTTAAAAATTAAACAACAGTCAACACTGATATGTGAAATATGTGTGTTTTGGAGAAAAAAAAAAATGTTGTCGCGAATTATAATTTCGCGAAAATTTCTATCTAAAAACAATCCCATAATATCATAAATTAACTCTACATAAATCTAGTTCCTCAAGATTTTTCACATGTGATTTTCATCTTAGATACGTTCAATTCTCACATATGTAAAACAATCTTTACAGTATCTCTCCTTAAATCTAGTTTTTTAAGATTTATTACACATGTAATCTCACATCACAAATTCTCAGTTCTCATGAACATCTCCGATTCTTCACACATATGATTTTTATCTTGGACAATTACCACTCATATAAAATTCAATCCTAAAAAATTACATAAATTATTGTCTTGAAGGCCGACTACTACTCGGTTAACCAATTTCAATTCCTCCGGTCTTCTTTTATAAATTTCTTCGCTTTTTATTGCTCGTTTATTAATATTATGTTTTCGAAAAATACAGGTTTATTAATCTTCCTAATGTATTGCAACTATTCAAATATCAACCAGACAATCTTTCAAGACAAAAAGCAAAAATTTAGACTGAACATCTAAAGGTCGCCGGTTCGATCCCGACTCGTGGCACCAATAATTTTTTGTTGTGAAAGATTGTCTGGTTGATATTTGAATAGTTGCAATGCGGCAGGAAGATTAATAAACCTTTATTTTTCGAAAACGTAATATTAATAAACGAGCAATAAAAAGCGAAGAAATTTATAAAAGAAGACCGGAGGAATTGAAATTGGTTAACCGAGTAGTAGTCAACCTTCAAGACAATAATTCATGTAATTTTTTAGGATTGAATTTTATATGAGTGGTAATTGTCCAAGATAAAAATCATATGTGTGAAGAATCGGAGATGTTCATGAGAACTGAGAATTTGTGATGTGAGATTACATGTGTAATAAATCTTAAAAAACTAGATTTAAAGAGAGATAATTTAAGATACTGTAAGATTGTTTTACACATGTGAGAATTGAACGTATCTAAGATGAAAATCACATGTGAAACTAGATTTATGTAGAGATAATTTATGATATTATGGGACTGTTTTTAGATAGAAGTTTTTGCGAAATTATAATTCGCGACAAATGTATAGAAAATAATTGGAACCATTACGTGTTGAACGTGAGAAAGATGTAGAAAATGATCTCATAACGTCTGCATTTCCCGCTAATAAAAGTTTACAATTTTTCAATTTTATTGCAAATCTCTAGTAAAAAATTATGTTTTACAGCATAAATTGTAACCAAGCTCGAATTTCTAGTTTTTTCTTTTTCAAACTTATTTTACTTATTCACCTGATAGATTTGAAAAGCATTTCCTGTCCTTCCACTTTCCAAACGACATGGCCGAGTACCAGGATGCAAATTACCTGGTCTTTTCGATGAATTTCGAAAGACTGGAGCTTCATGATTTGGTCCCAAACCTGAAATTTGAAATTTCAATAGTAAATAAAATATGAATTTTGAATTATTTTTCTTCTGATAACAAATTCGTTGAAGTTATAATAGAAACTTAATCCTTATCTAAATAATATGCATACCAGTCAACTGGCCAAGTGCTAATCGTTGAGCACTTAATTCAATTTCATCAACAAAGTCATTTTCGCTATCACTGAAATTTTGTAATGCTCGCATCTGCCGCATTTCTAGGGCATCTGATGCTTCATTTAATAAATCTAATGGTTCAGCACATTGTTCACGACCACGTTTAAGGACTACTCGTGCTCCATTTATATCATGAGAAATTTCACGGATCTGGAAAAATCACATAAGTGAATTTCATAGTGCTAACGACAACTAATAGTTCTAAAAGAATGATAAAGATCAAAGTTCAACTACAATTGCAATTTTGTTTTGGTTTTATATCCCAGATTGCAAAATGTTCCAATTATTTCTAATGAAAAGATAATTACAAGCAAATTTACTGGAAATTTTCTTTGAAAAATGCAATTAGCAAATTGAGTAATTAGAAATCAGAAATGGAATAATTTATTTGGAAAATTACAATAGGTTATTACTTACTTCAGCCCATCTAACATAAAATTTAGCCAAACGACGACAACACCCTGCAAGATAAGCACGTTCAAAAAATGCATCCACATTAGCATCAGATTTGTTCTCGATTAATTTTATCCAAAATTTTAACATCCTTTCATCGTTTAAAAACTCTTCACGGTAACCAAAAGTGTTAATTATGCGTGTTAGTATCGAAAAAAGATGTGACTGCTTCCCTATAAAATTAACAAATTTTTTTCATAAGAAATCAATTCAGGTTATCATTTGATAACTTAATACATTTCATTCATTGCTATCTTTACGACCAAAGTACTAAATATGGTGCTGCAAGATTCTTTGGCAGGGATACAAAACATTGAAGATTATGATATTTCAATATTACTAATGATTACTAGCCTCAATTAACTAAAAATTAATGAATGATTAACTTGAAAACAAATCAAGACAATCTATTACGTGAAAAAAAAAACTGCAATTTTAGTGCTGATAAAGCTTAGATTCCATTTTTTTTTTCTACAAAATTTAAAATTGAACATTAGATAAATTAAAAACCTGTTGGGAAATGCTCTTCGAACCAAGTTATATAATGCAAGCATATATCTAATGGATCATCTGATGCTTTTGCTCGTTCGAAGTCATTCTCGAAACGTTCCTCTGCTTCCACAATTGTAATTTTGACACCTGATAATACAGTTTATTAAATTTATCTGCAGTACATTCTCGATTCTCGAAAGTGATATTAATTTTAGCAATAGTACAAAATATTTTTAGTATGGATAAAATAAAACTATAGTTGTACAAACACGGAGCATATCTAACATCCTTATATATGATGACGGATATGATCATACACAAATTTAAACGTAATTATAACATAAGCAAGAACATATGTAATATTGATGTCAAACCTTGGAAACTCAAAAAACATAGCTTTGCTGTCAATACTTACTGCTTATAAATGAAAACTTACCACCAAAAACATTATTTAGAGATTTCACCTTTCGGCCACTTCTAAGCGGTCGGATATTTTCACGACTTAATTCCCATTCATGTTCTGCTGCATCAGTCATGTTTGCTTCTGATATTAATATACTCACAAATATCTTAAATCAGTAATAAAAACAAATACATACATACACACACAGAAACACAATTTCAACCTAAAAATTTATCCTCAATTTTTAATTTATGGTGTCAATAACTCGAACAATTAACAGTTACTTAGACTGAACTCTACAGTTCGCAACATAACTCATTAATACAAACAATTTCTAAGATATGTTACTCACAACTATTCAACTCAACCAACAACCATGGATAATATTATTTCACAAAAATTAATCCAAACCTACTTACAAACAATCCATAAATATAAGTATTGCAATAATCAATAGTCAGCAAACAAACAGAATACAAATTAAGCTAACAAATTTATTTCTCCATATTTTTTCAAATGAATATTACATCAATCCTTAGGCCATCACTGGAATACAATCATTAATAGTTCCACATCAATTTATAGCAATCAATTACACAAACATAGCATGAGTTAACGAATCAATAAAATACAGATTTGAACAACTGAGACGAGAAACAATCAAATAAACAGTAAAAACAATATGCACGAAATATCGCTCACAAAAAACTGATATTAAAAACCCAAAAGATAGTGTAATACCGTATAAAGTTCATTAAAATTTTTCATAATTCAACATGAAAATAATATGTACCATTGATTAAATTTTTAGTACATAACTGTCAATATCAAATGAATAGCTTCAATCCAATAAAAATTCATTCCACGCAGCAATATCTTTCTAATAAATTCCTCGCAACATAATGATTACCACTCGCCAAATAGATCAATGCCAAATTATGCGCAGCCATAGGTCGAAGATTATATCTGAATCAAATTAAATTATTAAACTCGAAAAAATAAAATAGATTATGTGCTATATCATTCTGCGTTAAATTAGACATGTTATAAAAAACATAAACAGCTTATAGATGAAAGAAACATAATAGAAATATTTTTAGTCGTGTGCTAAATGTATTTTTTTAATAAGAATAATTTAAATATAACTGCAAGAGCAAAAAAAAAAAAAAAAAAATTAATATCTTTCAATGTCTAAATTAAAATAAATGAACAAAATTTACTCTTTAGCTTCCACTGCATATTCCTTACCAGTGGCTTTATCTGTTATCACAATTTTCGGAATATTAGCCTGCAAAATTGAAATCACAGCGTTTCTGACCACACATAATTTCAAACAATCTTACCTTCCTTATTTTGATAACCATAAATTTAAAGTGCAATACCAGTATAATAATAAGCGTATAAACAACGTGCACAATTGCAATTTACCTTCAAACATTTTTCGTAAAAATGCATAGCCAAAGGCAGAATGTTCATTTGGTGAAACATGCGTCCAATGTTGTAGTATGTTTCCTGATTGTCACCGCGTAATTTTTGATAACGATTCATGAATGCTAGACCCTTTGAAGATCATTGAGATATATTTCATTTCTTATTTATTTACTTTTTTCTGTTATTATTATTATTATTATTATTATTATTATTATTATTCACGCAGAAGACCTTATATGAAGCAATAATAATTTTGCTTTTCTTCATTGTACTTTATTTACAGATATGAAAACACAGTTTATGAAAACACAGATATGAAAAACATAATTTTAATTTTCACACAACGAAGTATCCTTTCTTTATCATTCCGCAATTTCTCTCCAATTAACAGAAATTTTTCTTTTCAGTCAAATAGAAAAAAGAAAATATTAAGAAAGAAAACATACTCTAAGAGCCACCATATGGCGACTAAATATATCTTTTTTGCAGGACATGTGAATAAATGTAAGACCGATGAGCATACAAACAAGTGGATTATCAGGAATTTGAACCCAAACATGTAAATATTCACCTGTAATCAATTTTATTTTTTACATTGTCCTATGCGTACTAATAACTCATTTTCCTCTCTCTCTCCCTGTTCTGAAATCGTTCGGCGAAACCTTTAAAAATTCTTGAGGAGAAACTTCCCCTCCTCATACCATAACAAAACAAAAAAAAAAAAATCATTACTCACCAAGAGCATGACGATATGCACCAGTAATTAAGGAATTATTTCCTGAAATCATTTGAAGCGCTAAACTCCCTGAGGTACGTGATAGTGCTCTCATTATGTATCGATGATAGCTAACATTTTGAGAATGACAGAAAACAAAATTCATTGCATTGAAAATACGAGTGAATAATAGATCACGATCTGATGGTGACAAGAGCGCATTATTGTTCTATAAAAAATAGTGTGATTTCGGAATAATTAGACAAATATTAAGATGAAACATCTCAGTGACTATAACTGAATTGAATCTTCTTCACGACTTACAGCTTTGATTAAGCAATTAAATCATTCCTAACAACAATATTTTTTTTTTTTTTCTGAGTAAGATAAATATGATAATGGTGTTTGTATTAAAAAATCTCTATCCGATCCGGCCAATGTAAAATAATAAAGTAATCACATAAAATTATATCTTTATTACAAAGTTTAATTATATTTAATAATTTTTAAATTATGAGAACTATCTAACCACAGAAAGTGTATGAAACCATCGAAGATATTCGAATGCAAGTGGCCAAACATGTGCTCGTAATGAGCAGTACAGCAAAAGATTCTGGAACGTTTCCAAAGTTCTAAAAAATGAAACGATTCATACAAATAATTGGCTGCAAGTGATACAGTTAGTAGAACTTTAAAATTCAATCTTATGCAATTTTAATTTTACCATTTGAAAGAGCACTCACTTAACACTTTTGCTGATGAGCGGTTGTAAGTAAGCAAAACAACAGACATGTAACGCATCCAAGCATCTTTTTTGCTGCAGCAATGTTTCCAATAACTTGAAGCAATAATCATGAAGCTGAAAATGAAACATATTATGAAATAAAAGTGAAAAAATTTGAAAAAATATCAAAAAGCCATTGAAAACGATCGTTAATTTCAGATGACAGAGGCTATGATCGATTCATTTGTCTCATCTGTTGATGTCAGCTACTAATATAAATAAAAATCGTTCTGACATTTTTAAATGAAATAGCTAGGATATGTTATTCTTAAATCATTTAAAAAAATATAAATGGGAACTAAACATTTTGTAATGACTTAATCCTGACAGAATGTAAGAAGGAATGGAGATTTGAACAGGAATTGAGATTAATCAATTATTGTAAAAATTCATGTAACTTCACTTTAAAGATAAGGAAATAAAGAATCTGAATTATTTATCCACTAAAAGTATTTTTATAATTCAGTTATGTCGCTATGATATTACCTATAAATTTTGAAATTGATACTGAAGGAAAAACAGAATTTACCTGTGTACCAGTAATCTCGCTTGGTGCACGCTCTTCTGCTGCTGCAAGTTGTCCAACACGTTTCACGTATTTTTCGAATGCTGAGCCACGCACTGCATTAAATGCTTGTACGCGAATACCATGGTAAACAGCTAGAATTATTATCTGTGAATTGATCAAAGTTCATGAAATATAAGTTCATGAAAAAAAAAAAAAATGTAGAATGAAATATAAGAAATATTCCTAGACATAAGGTTTTTCAACAATAACTTTAGAAATTACATTTTGCTTAAGAAAAAAGTACAATTTTATAAAAATGTGCAAAATGCAAAAAGGAAAATACTTCCTCGTTCGCTCGCTGGTAACCTCCTCTTCAATAAAGCCATATTGTTTAAGTAAATTTCGTAAAAATGAGGAGCAAGTAACATTCGAACACAACGAGCAAATTCATCCATTCGTTTCCGCTCAAATAAGAAATCAGCCTGACGCACCAACAATCTTTCATCCTAGAAAATGAAAAATAAACTAAACAATCAGTACAATTTAGCAGTGGAAAAAGACGACTTGACTACAATGATATTAAAAAAAAAACTAAGTTGATATCAAAATTAATTTGATTAATTTTTTTATTACTAAAATTAATATGACTAAAATTAATTTAGTAAAACTAAGTTATAATTATGTAATTATTTAAAACAAATCTAAAAGATGTAACCATAGGAAAAATGGCAAAACTTTCGAATCATTAAACTTGACGAACGAATTAACAAATGATGGAATATTACGGGTTTTACTTTTATTTTTTATTTTTTTTTTTTAAAGAATATAATAAATAACTTGCCGGTAAACTGCTCCCAGCATCCAATACATACTCACGCAAAGTTTCAAATGCTTCATCAACCATACCCAAACGCTGCTGAATTGACGAATAATTGATACGTGCGTCAACATGTGACGGCTGAAGATCCAGTGCATGCTGATAAGCTTCACATGCTTCTTCATATTTCTTACGAATCTAAAAAATTACTTATACATCTACAATAAACGTACGTCATTCTTATCAGCAAATATTGAAAATATAAGTGAAAAATTGAATCCGATTTGACTTAATCGTTTAAGAAATTATCAAAATGGATGGGAAAACATACGGAAAGAAAGAGACCGTAAAGGTACCACGCTTCAGCAACATCCAGAAAATGTGGACGAGCCAAAAGATGTTCCATGTATTTTTGGGCATGTGCTACACAATCGACAGCATGATAAGCACGTGCTATGTCCAAATAGACTTGTTGATCTTCCGGTACAATAGCCCTTTCGAAAAGCTTGTCTACGAGAGTCTGTAAATATCCGCAATTTAATATATAACCACATTTTTGTTTAACGTTTTCTCAGTAAAAAAAAAAAAAAAAAGTGATTTTTATTAATTTGAAAATGCTTTTCAAAAACGGTTGAGATGCACATAATCAAAAATCAGGTGAAATAACGACCTATAAATAAACTTTATAAAAACTAACTTCCACTCAGCTGCAACTTATTTTATCTAATGTCTTAATTAAAAATGAAATTTTCATCTGCTACATTATAGCGTTGGATATGAAACAAGCCTAACAACCTGTTTGAAAATAAATTTCACAATTTTTGATAATTCAATTTATAATATAAACTGGTAAATATACAGTATTGAAAATAAATTGATTGCTAATATTCAAGAAGCAATTCAGGATCTTACCGGAGCCAGATCTTTACGACCAAGTCTAATGAAACAAATAACAAGCCGTGCCAGAAAAATTGTTGGTAAGCTTTCACCAACAACAAAACGATGCACTTTTTCTGGAGGAAATGGTCTCACTGTATAACTTGCATTGTTGTACTTAATCTAAAATTTAGCAATTCCATTATTCGGCTCTGTATTGATCAATTATTCGGCATAACAGCTTACTGATAGTAATGAAACAATAGAGAAATAATCACCATTAGGTTAATGATTCAACTCCATGCAATATCTTCTAACTAATTTTATGGTTAACCTAATAACGAGTTTTGATTTAAAACTTTTACTGATAGTATGAAATTGCTTACATCAACAGCAAAACGTCCCATTTCATCAAGAGCAGTAATTCCAGGACAGAGAGCAAAGACAGACTTTGATGCATCCTCGAAACGATGGCTGTTCATCAGTAAACCTGAAACTTGTCATTTGCTGTCTAGAAAATAGCAATATTCCAAATATTCCATAAATTACTAAAAATAAAATATTCCATAAAATAAATTACTAAATCATCAATGAAACTTACGAACGACAGTTTTATGTTGCTCAGTAGCATCACGATTATATTCACGACTACGAAGAACAAACGTTTCTAATGCTGCTATTGCTTTTTCTTCATCATTCATTTTAATATAGTGATCGGCAGCCTGAAGTTTATATATTTATTATTCATTTTTTTTTTTTATTCTTTTCCTTATTAAACTGCAGCACTGCAATGATTTCTAAATATCAGCTTTTTAAAATTTCCTACGTTATTTGGATTGCAATTACTGGTTTTTACATATCCTTCGATATTTCTTTCTTTTTTTTTATATAATCAATATAATCTAGCTTACAATTGTTATCATATTTCTAAACCACTCGAAATCCACTTGTCCTCGATCAACTGACTGCATAGCCATAAATCGTGTTCGCATTGCAAGAACATTAAGTCCGACTTTCTCAAGTGCATTAATCCTTTTTTCATAGTAAAAATGATTGGACGAATCGGCTCGTATTGCTGAAAAATGTTCGTATAAAAAAAAAAAAAAAACATGAAAGAATAACGATGGAAATTTTTCGATATTTCTTCATAGTATTCAGAAAACAGTTAAAAAAATCTGTTTGTAAAAGATTTAAGTATCCGAAGTTTTGCATCAAATAATATAGGCGATAACATCATTGTATCTATAACAATAGTAATAGAAAAGTAAAAGAAAGAAAGAGAGAGAAAGAGAAAGAAGCAAGAAAAGCGAACTCAAATAATCATATCAAATACTAACCTCGTCCATAACATGCGGCAGCTTCTTCGTTTTTATCCAATTTTAAAGCATAATCACCCAAATCTGCCCATTCTACAGCAGATGTACGACTACCGTTCAAATGAGCAGCCAACAAACCGTATTGTAGAGATTTTTGAGGCCGATTAAGATCGTTGTAGATGTCAGCTACCTGCCGATATGGTTCCGGATTTCGTGGTTCTTGTCTGATTACCTAAAGAACAACGTTGAAACAAACTCAAATCTCTGCTAAAATTACACTAGTAATTCTGATTTACTAAAACTATCTGTTAACTATCATAAGTCATTATCTTTAATAAACCAAATTATAATACCTCTAACAGCATAGTTAAAGCTTCTTTTGTTTGTCCTTTCGCATAAATAACATTTGCCTGACCAATCAAAGCATCCAATGTCCTAAAAAGCAGTGGTCAATCTTTATATAATCAGCTAAGCTTATACTGCCAACATTATCATTAATTTAGTGATAATTCGAATCTTCACTGCTCACAATTTTACAGAAGAAAAAATATTCATAGTTCTCAAAAAAAAAAGAATGTGTATGTACAAAATATAAAAATAACTTGTTCGTTTTCATTCGCCTTTCACCACCAAATCCAGCAACTTTTGCCCCTGGTGCTGTTTCACCAAATGATTCACTGTTTCTGAGTTCAAGTGGTATGCCCAGTAACCGATCTTCATCAACTTCCTCCAAAGAACGTTCGTGTGGTGCTATTTTTGAGATCGGTGATTCCTAAAGACAAGATTACTGAAAGAATATCAAAATATTAGTTGAATATTCTTCAACAATAAAAGATGAATTTCAGTGAACTAACAATGATGAACGATGTACTTGGTATTTCTCCAGATTCAGCAAAATCATCGTATACATCAGGCGATGATTCCTTTTCAGCTTCAATCTCAACACTTTGGCTAAACGATGAAGAAAAGTTATATTTCTGTTTAAAAATGATACTGACTGGCTTATTTGATTGTGTTTTAATTTCCATTGCTGATAATAATTAAGACAGTAACTTATAACATTTGAACAAAGTATGGGTAGAGGACAGATTATAAAACAAGCTCAACAAGATTTCAGAAAAAAAAAGATGAGTTAATCTATGAATAAATCTCACAAATAATTTATTGTATTAAAAAAAAAAAAAAAAAAACCAACTCTTGCGAAGCAAGTTGCGTTCGTGATCTTTTCTTATACGCAACAACACCTGGAAAAAAAAAAAGGAAATTTAAATTTGAGGAGCAACCAAGAGTCTGAAAAAATTTTAATATTACCTTCATTAACATCGTAACCTGCTTCTTCTTCATCCAATCCAACACCACCTGAAAAATATCTTTTCTTTAAGCCTCAAACTTAAATAATTGCAATCAACTAAACAACAAACTTAAATTTTTGTATGAAAATAAAATAACGGTGAGGCATGTTTTTTTCTTACTTTTTTTGCTTGCATTTCCTACACTGAAATGTGAAACAATTACTTATACAGTATTTATTTACAGATGTTTAATTTCTTTCTTTCTGAAGTAGCTATTAATGTATGAATAATAGAAAAATGAAAATGCAAAACAAATGAAAACAAAATCATATCAAGTTAATCAACTTAACCTGTAGTAAATGCAGAGAATTAAATTACCTGTCATTTGCATGAACTCATTATAGGCAATTTCATTACGCATAAATCGTTCTAATGGTTCATTAAATTCAAAGTTATCAGTGGTTTCTCCAGCAGCTGATGCAGAAGTGCCCGATGGTTCGAAAAATGCCGATACATTAACTTCACCGATTATACCATCGGATTCCAAATGATCCGACTGTGAGCAACGTCTCGCTTCATGTGCCAAGTCTACATAACTCAGATAATTATCTTTCGTAAATTTCAAACAATTAAAGATAAATATATGTTTCGTATTTTCATTAAATTTTCCAACCTTATAAGCTATGCAGTTCAAAGCTTCTCTATGCATTTTTTTTTCTTTCTACGCTTTCTACGCATAACAATATGAGTTTAGGAATATCTCTGAGAATATTCGATAGCAAACTTATACAATAATGAATATGAATGTACTAAAAATTATATCCATGTGAATTTTAATTTTCCAAGCAAAAAAAAAATAAATAGTAAATAAAACTTACAATCAGCAATAGTTGACTGTACGCTATCACGCCGCACTCGCATCGGTGTTAAATTTACAAGTTCTTCACAATTATCTTCCATTATTTTCACTTAAATTTTAATTTGCATTTTTTTTTTTTTTTTTTCACTGCACAATTCAATTCACTTATGTGAATTTTAAACGTTAAAAATTTGTTACCTAGATTGAACTATAGATCCTTTTTAGACCAAACCCATACGTCTAGGTCCTTTCTAAATCAAACCCATGCCTAGGACCTTTCTAGATCAAACTCACACGTCTAGATCCTTTCTAGATCAAACCCATACATCTGGATCCTTTCTAGATCAAACCCATATTCCCGTAACTGAGCTAAACAATATTAATTGAACCATTTAAAACATACATTCAACATGCTTCAATGCAAATTGAGAAATGCAAGCATGGGGATAAAGACTGTGTTTTTGAGGAGAATCAGACGACGGAAGACTGTTTAAGCATAATGTAAAACAGAGAAACACGTAATAGCGCTAAAAAATTATTTCAATGAAATGTCACGCTAGAAACGTTAAAATTGTTTCACCCGTTACATTACGTGACACACGTGACTGATCGTAATGTGACGGGTGATACGTCAACTCGTGCGTAATATGGTTTTAACCGTTTTATGTGTAAAATGAAATATATATTTAGCGATGATAGAAAAACTATATTTTTGTTTTAGTTTTAAATTTCTTTTGAAAACAAATTAATTTATTTGAAATATTATTAAAAACGTACATATAATAATTGTAAATATATTTTTTTATTTAAAAAAAAAATTCAGAAATTCATATAATTTAAAAAAGGAAACCCATTTTATACTTTCTTTGAAAACAGTGAAAAAGGAAAATTGGATGCGTATATGATTTCAAATTATACTTTTTATTAAACATTTTTTTTTGTTTACTTTTATATTTGTTAAAAAAAATACATATAAGCAAAGTACATGTAATTTGTTTAGAAAATTACATATTAATTACTCGTAGAATTTGCCTAAATTATATATTCTTTAAAATATATACAAATTTGCGAAAAATAATCCATTGCAACCAGTAGAATTAGTTAATTAAAAAAAGGAGAACTAAGTTGTTTAAAATTCTTTAAAGACTTCTAAATGCTTAGAAGCTGACAAATTGGTAAATTATAACGATTAATTATATATTGTAAAAAAAAAAAAACTTGTAAAAAAAGAAAATTTAAAAGAAAATCAATCTATAAGAACACACTTTCTGCTTATGATATCTAAACTTCTTCCATTTATCATAATTATTATTTATTGCATTATTTTCAATTATATCATTTTTTTAACAGTGATAATTTTTCTTTTTTCATAATATTGGAATTAATATTGCAAGCAATTTATGTAATACTTAAAATAATTATCTCATAAATTCATGGAAATTTCTTTGGATAATTTTCACCAAACATAAAATTGTTATCATCAATTAAATTTATAAAATTTTTATCAATGCCGATCTTATTTATGATATTACAATTACTTCAATATTATAAGAATTTTTATAGCACCTATTAGGTGTACTTTAATATTTGATAGTATATTTAATAATATTTGGTAAAGATTTTATAATATATTTGATTTTATCAGTGGAGAATTTATCATTCTTAATATAATTGATTTTATCACTGTATATAAATGCTTCATTCTAGGATATTATTTTTGATTTCATTATGTTGATTAATTTATCATATTTTTAACTGATAAATTTTTAAGTTCAATCATTTCTTTAATATTTTATGTACGTATATTTACTAATCGATAAAAAGGAAATTTATAATATATGCAAGTAATTTTATTAATAAATAATATGAAAATAAACTGCACAAAATGTTAAAAGTAGCAATATTTTAATATTAAACATTAAAAAAAAAAAGAAAAAATTATTTGCGTCTCTCATATTTGTAAATTTGAAATGACGAAAAAAAATTTTGCCAAAAAAAAAGTGAAAAAACAAAAATTTTCTTTAGTATTTGTAAAAACTTAAAAAGATGAAAAAAAAAAAAAAAAAAAATTAGTTTCTTTTTCTTTCTTCCTTAAAATGCGGTCAATAACATTTTTGCCCAATTAAATGACTTTAAAAATAAAAAATTAAAAAAGAATAAATTGCTAACAGTTTATCAAAGTTAATTTTGAACTTTTCTTTCATTTAACAACAAAATTTAAACTCTTCATCTCAAGAACATTTTTGTTTAATTACATAGTTTGAAAAAAAAAAAATTAAAAAAATAGAAAAATTTAAAAAAAAAAACCAAATTGTTAATAGTTCATCCGAATTAATTTTGAACACCTCTTTCATTTAACGACAAGTTTTTTGATTAAACAAAAAATTTTCTTCAAATTGTTAAATTATATTTTAAACTCTTTTTATCACACCATTATTATATTAATGAAACTTAAAATTAATATAAAAAATGTACCAAAGTATATATTAGTTTTAATATGAAAAGTTCACTAAATTAGATATTAGTTAGTTTCAGTAAAAAATTGTTTTTTATTATTTTATTTTTTCAAAAAAAGAAAATTTAAAAAAAAAAGTTTTTCTAGTGTTATTTTTTATGTTTGATTGAAATGTTTTGGAAAAAAAAAATTTTTTTTTTCCTTTTTTTTTTAAATTTCATTTTTTGTTAATAACAAATGATTAATGAATGAAAAAACTTTTGTTGTACCTAATATTTCATTTCAATATTTGACTGTGCACTTTTTATCAATAATATAATTTTTATTACCAACTGATTTTTATTTATTTTTTTTTCTTTTAAACTTATAATCTATTGATTATAATTTTTTTTTGGTTTAGCTATCAGAATTTTGAATTTACTTAAACTTAATTTATATTTCAGTTCAACAAAAAAAATTTCAGCTTTTAGCTTTATGAAATTTTTACCACTGTTGTAAAATTATAAAATCATTTCAAGTGTGATTGATATGCCTAAGGTTGTACTAAAAATTATAGTTATAAAAAATTTACATTAATTCTGTATTATTTTATAACATTTTAAATTTTCAAAAATTCTTGAAAAATACAAACAAACAAATTGTTTTTTAATGCTTAATTATTTAAATTAACCATAAGAGTATATATGCGACATAAATGAAAATTTATGCATTTTGTCTTAATTGATATGCAAATTTAAAAATTCATTTTTATAATTATGCTTAATTTTAATTTAAACTATTTTCATTTATATTTTCATTTCCATTTCACTAAATTCAAGTGTCAGTAACAATTTTATCATCAATTCTTTTCTAATAATCAATTAACTCCCTTACTATAAAATGTTAAATTTAATTTTAATTAATGATTTAACCCACTTACTGTTTATTTTTTTAATAATTAATTAGTTTACTTATTATTAACGTTAAATTTCACCGACTTACTATTTATTAAAAACATTAAATTTCATTTTCATTATTCATTTTTTGCATATTTGATTAAATATATGCCAAAAAAATGTTAATGCCAATGAGAGATGATAAGCGATTTTTTTTTTTTTCATTTTATTTTAAAAAAATTTTGCTTTTCTCATATGCATAAAAATGATGCTATCAAAATGTTAGTCAAAAATGTATTACAACATTTCAAATTTGAAATTTGCTTTACTTTTTCACTTTTATTTCGTTTTTTTTTTGAAATTCTTTCTTCCATTTTAATTCATTCCTTTTTTTCCTTTTATGTTTTCCTCATTAAAATATCAAAAGAAAAGTTTTTTTTAAATTTCAAATTTAAAAATGAGAATTTTTGTTTTTTTTTTTTGCTGAAGCTCTTTTGAAAAATAGAAAAATATAAAAAGGGATTCAGTATTAATTTTTTATCATATTCAAGTATGTAAATTCGAAATTTTCCATTTCTTTTAGTCTCAATAATAAATTTTACTTTTATTTTAATTATTTATCCACTTGTTAAGTTTTTATTTCGACTATTCGTTTGTTACACAATAATTATAATTGTTGAATTATCTTTTTTTAATCTTATAGTTAATTATATTTATTATATTGAAAATGATTAATTGAGAAATTCATTCACTGATTACTGTATTTGATTTATTTGATTGAAATAATTTAAAATCATAATTTTATAATTTCATTTTTTTTTTTTTTTTGGTTTTTTTCCCTTACTTTTTTCAATTAAAAATTATTAAAATATTTTCCATTGTATTTTTTTGGTATGCTATTAAAACATTTTCCATTTACATTGAATGCTAATGTTTGTTGTTCTGTTTCAGAAATATGCTTAAATCAATTTGATGGATTTAAATAATTGAATTCATTTGATATCAATCAGAAATTTGAAATTGAATTACTAATGGCAAATTTTTCTTTTTACATTATTTTGCCATATAATAAAATGCATTGTTGTATAATTTTCTATTTTTTTTTCTGATTTTTTTTTTCGTTGTGTTATTGTTAAAAATTGATAAAATTGAAATTTTTATCATTTTTATTGATAATATTAGTTAGTGTCATCAAAAGTAAATAGAATAATTTCAGAGCTATAATTATTATCAACATTATCAATTAATCAACTAGGCTTAGATTCATTTTATCAGTATACACAATTGTCATTTTTACTCCTATAAATTATTTTAATAACTGATAATCGTATTAAAATATTTTCTTTCTTTTTCTTTTATTTATTTTATCTAATTTTTTCTTTTAGAACTAATCATCTATTCAGGATTTATTTTATCACTGTTATAATTATATTTATTTTAATTTTGGTGAACAATTAAAAAATTTCACTGGTTGAATTTATTATTTAAATTTTGGTAAGCAATTAAAGAAATTTATGACTTAAATCTAATAAATTTCACTTTCTGATCTATTAATATAGATCGAATTAATTATTAATATAATTAATTACAACAATACTCATAATAAATAATAAAAATAAAAATTTACAAAATTATTTTATTCTCTTCTCTTATTTTTTTTTTAAGTCATACAAAAAAAAATAGAAAAATACATTATAAAAAAAAAAAAAAATATTTTATTTGTTACATTTTCTTGTATCCTATTTAAAATTGAGGTTTATTCTATTTAAAAACCAGTAATAAAATATTTGTTTTTTTTTTCTTTTTTATTTTATTTAAATTTTATCTGTAGGATATGTTAAACTTTTTTTTTATTTTATTTTAAATCTTATCTGTAGAATATGTTAAATGTATGATAAAGTAGGAACAATTAGTCTTTGTGTTATTCAAATCGATTGAATTAATTCAATTTACTACTTTTCAATTTTTCATTTCCTACTTTTTTCATCTAATCAGGCGGATTTCAACAAGGAATTCAATTTTTCTTTTAACTAATTTATCACTTTTTATCTTTTTCTATTTCTTCTATTTTTTTTTTAATTCTTTAGTAGTTTTAAATAAATAAATACAATAATCATTTCTTTACTTATTTGTATAAAAAATATAGCGCAGCAATGTGTTAGCTAAATAATGAATAAATAAATTTTATACAAAATAATGGAATTTAAAAGAAAAAGCGAAAAAAAAAAGAAAAAAAAAATTAAAGATGGAAGTGATTAGATCAGTTAATTATTAATTATCATACTATTGTGCTACAAATTCTTTTTCTTTTAAAATCTTTTAAAAACAAGAAAAAAGGAAACGGAATTAAACTGTTTACTAAACTGTTTCCTGTTTAAATTTTTGTTATCTTATCATCTATAATTTAAAAAAAAAAAGGAGAAGGAAAGTGAAGTGATAAATGATTGGATAAATAGATAACTTACAGGATATGAATAACCAGTTTTTCATTTCATTTTGCATTTGATTTTTTTATTTACTTGTTTATTTATTTATTTATTTATTTGTCCTATTTGTACCAAAATCATTTCGTCTCTTTTCTTTTTGCCATATATTATTTTGTTTCATTTTTATTTTTCTATTTTTTTTTTCCCAACAACATTTAGCAAATTTATCATTTGCTTCATTGTGTGTATCAATCATTTAAAAAAAAATGAGAAAAAAAGAAAAAAGAAAGACTGAAAATTAAGAATCAAGAATCACGAATCGAGAATCAAGAATCGAGAATCACGAATCGATAAAGCTAAGTGTAAAATGATGGAAAGTGGAAAAAGTGCAATTAAATTAGCAAATGATCCATTTAAAATGGATTCATTCGGTTATGGATGTTTTGAAAAGCTACAAAATAGCACCAATAGCAGGTCATTTTTTCTTTCTCTTTTTTTTTTTTTAAAAAAAAAAGTTATTTGGAATTAATTTTTTTTTTCAAATATTATTTTAAAAAAATTTAGCTGTTACCTTATATTATTATATTAAATATTGTATTAAAATAGTATTATGTTTGAAATTAATTTTTCTTTCCACCATTTTCCTATATTAAAATAAAAATATGAAGAAATATTAATAATTCTAATTGATATAGCTAAAATTAAATCATTAAGAAATGCATAAAAGAATAATCGTTTGAAATATATTTGCTAAAAGTTAAAAATGAAAAGAAAAATTAAAATTTAAACTGAAAAGAATTATGATGCAAAATGTTAATATTTTAATTTTATTTTATTATAAATTAGAAAATAATGAATTTTTAATTTAAATTTAATCAATGCATAAAAATTGTATTTTATATATAAGTATGATATCAATCAATAATATATGAAATTGAAATTAGATGGAATTTTGTGTAATAGAAATAACTTTATTATCAATTATTATATTTTTCCACTTCCAGTAATATTTTATTTGTTCAATATCAAATTAATATAAAATAAAACAAAAAAAAAAAAAAACAAAAAGTAAAAAGAAACCGAAAAAAAAAATAAAAACCTAAACAGGAAATTGAAATTTTAAAATGAGCAAAAAAACAAAATAGTATTTTGTTTTGTCTTTGTTTTTTAGAAAATTACATTCAATTTACTACCTTAATTCTCCCTTTTCCCTCTTCTTTCTTTCTTTTCCTCCCTCCCTCCCTCTCTCTCTCTCTCTCTCTCTCTGTTCGTCTTTCTTTGTCATATTTTCTCTCTCCCTCTCTCTCTCTCTCTCCAAAAATTCCCAACAAAAGATATCAGACAAATAATTATTTCATTTGTCTACTTGAAACTTGTCCCCCTGTCCTTGTTCAAATTATATTGTTGACAATAAATTCAACAATCATTTTTATTCATTTCAAACAATTGACATTACAATCGTTTTTTTTTTTCATCTTTTCATTATTTATTTCGCATATCGTTGACATTTTTTTCCCTTTTCATTTCAATCAATTTAAATCATTTCATTCCTTATCACCGTATTATCACTATCACTTATCATCTTATCATTACACTTATCATTCAATAATATATATTAGACATGCATATATATTTATATATGCATAGACATACATATACATATGCATCAATGACATAAACATACACATTTATATACATGCAGACATACACACATACATTATTAGACGTATACGTATACATACACACATACACAACACAGACATACACACGCACTTATATATAATCAATAGGTCAACGGTTTTTTTTTCTCCTCTACCATTAATCGATGATAGTCTTTTGCATAATTTTACTCTCTTAGAAGTAATCACTTATAGTAGTAATATGTGTATGTGTATGTATGTGTGTATGTGTGTATGTATGTATGTATGTATGTATGTATGTATGAATTTGTATGTGATTATTTACTAAAATGAAATTAATTAATCAATTTGTTAGGAAATGAATATTTTATGGAATCTAATATATTTTATATTAACTTATCTTTTTCTCAAATTTATTTCATTTATAAAATGAATTTGGTTATTTATACACTTTTTTTTTTCTTTTTCAGTCTAACAAATATTTTTGTATTTATTTAATAAAAATTAAATTAATTAAAATGAAAAAGAAAAAAGAGAAAGGAAATTTAAAAAAAAAAAGAAAAAACGAGAAATTTTTTTCTTTCATTCATTTCTTTCTTCCATCTTTTTTTTTTTTTTTGTTTCTTTTCAAATTTTTTTTTTCAATTTTTACAAGTGTTACACTATTAATTGTCTACTCTTCATATCTTACCATTTTACCTTTTAATTTTTAATTATTATTTTTGCATAAAAAATTTCTAACATATTATAAACAAATTTATGTATAAAATTTAACTGAAAAATGCATTTAACATTTTGAAATATAAATTATAAAATATTTAATGACCAAATAATCTTGTAAATAATTTAATTAATCATTTAATTAATTAATTTTTCACATTAAAAAAAATAGGAAATGTTTTTTTTTTTTAAATTATTTACTTTAGATACACACATACATATAATATACCAGAAAGAAAGACAAATGACAGTAATGCATCTTTTACAATTTATTTTAAAAAAAAGATTTTATTTTAAAAAAAAAGAACAAATCATTTTTTTTTTTTTTTTTTAATTGACAATTTTAATAGAGAAATTAATAATTTATCTATAATATTTGTTATCAAAAAAATCAAAAAAAATAAATAAAACTGAAATATAACAAATAGTTAATGTATTTGTACACATATATAAATAACATTTACTTGATATTTTTCATTTAATTTTAATTAAAAATTTATTTTGCTATTTTAATAGTAAAATTAAAAGTTTTATTTCCTTCTTATCATTTCTTTAAATTAATGCTTATTTTATTAAATTATTTTTTCTTCCTTTTTTTTTTTTTTTTGAGAATAATTTCAATCACTTTTTTTTTCTTATTTTATTACTAAAGTTTTATAATTTTTTTTAGATACCATTAAAATTCTATGAATTTTAATAAATTTCAAATTCACACAATTTCATATGGAAATGAGTAAATGCAAAATGTTTTCATGTCGGAAAAAAAAATTACTTTTTTTCAATATCTAATATCAATATAATTTCAATGAATTCTGATTTTTTCCTTAAAAATTGAAAAAAAAAAAATATTTTAATATTTAGATTGATGGAATTTTGACTTATTAAATTATTTAAATTTAAATATTCAAAAATTCGATATATTTAAACTAAAGAATCTGAATGGATTATATATATACGTTGACGTAGTGACGTAGACACGTATGTAAGTGACGTAGACAAACATCTAAGATTACACCTAAATCACTGATTGTAGTTTTTCATAAGTTAGATAGTTTCATCAAGATTCCTTTGCTATATTTCACACATTAACATTTTGCATTCTATTAATGGAATCTTGCATTCCGGTAGTTGAATCCTGTTTTCCGGTCGTAACAAACACAATTCAATAATGTAGTTTTGATGATAATCTATTCAGGTACATGTAATTCACATATTCTGATATATGCATATGAATAGAAAAATATGTACATACGTGTTCTAACGTATATTTCATAAGTATTTTTTTAAATTATATCATCAAGTTATCATATTTAAATTTATCTCCTATTTTTTTTTGATCAATTTTATAATAATTATTAGTAATTATTTTTTTTAAAATTATTTTACGAAAATCAGAAATGCTAAAATTAACGTAAATTGAATCAATTACTTGAATTGAAATGAAATATTTATGGAGAAATGAATCAATTGATTTCAACAAATAATAATTAATTAAAATTAATTACTAATAATTATTAGGTGTTGTCATTTGTTTTTATGTAAATGAATTGTAAACAACAACAAATAATACCGTAGTGGTCAATGGGATCAATAGGTCACATAATAAACATAAAATGTTGATAGTTTATTATTTACTAATTTATATAATAACAATAATAACTGTGGTTTGATATAATATTAAATTAATTTAATCTGCGTTGTATGAGATATGAAAATATGATAACCTAATCAAAATATATCATATCTTCCTGGAATGATTATTTTAATGTGTTTCAATTCATCTGTTAATCATAATGTTATTATTGTTAGTAGAATAGTTAAGATCAACTTCTTTTTAAGTATAATTTAAGAAGGAATTTATGTAATTCGAGAAGAATCAAAAAATCAAAATCCGTATAATCTTTTTTTTTCTTTACTTTTTAAATTATTACAAATGTTGTTTTTTTTTTTTTGTTTTTGTATTTTACAGCAACTCAATGTCTTCCGAAAGGCTGAAAGTTAAAAATGGACCACGTGATTATATTTGCTTAATTCTTTTGTTTATTATTAATTTAATTAATTACATGGATCGATTTACAGTTGCAGGTGACTAAAATAAATATTCTTCATTCTTTTTTTTTCACATTTATTCGTACATTTATTATGATTTAATTTTTTTTTTTTTTTTGCTGAATTAAATTTTATAATCATAATTGTCAATCGAGTCATCAGTCATAATCAGAACATCATAATTACTATTTTTATTACTACTGTAGAAGTACTGTAACAACGATGATAGCTAATTACGGTAGTGAATTACAGTAACAAATTATGACATTCTTGATAACAACAAATTAATTATTTATTCTATTCATTTTGTTTTCTCATTTAACGCTTAATTCAAATGTACTGATTAGATTATTAACTTAAATTATTGATTATAATTCATTGATATATGCCAAATTCAAATTAAATAATTTAATTTCTAAATTTAATTATGTTATAAGTAAATTGCAAAATGCATACAAAGTAAATGTTAGAAATGGTAAATTTATGACTATTTTTTTTTTTAAATCTACGAATTTTAAGGTGTTTTGACACAAGTTCAAGCATTTTTCTCGATTGATGACACCGGAGCAGGTTTATTACAAACAGTATTTATTATATTTTATATGGTAGTTGCACCCTTATGTGGTTTTCTTGGCGATCGATATAATCGGAAATGGATAATGGTTATTGGTATAGCAGTTTGGATTATTGCTGTAATGGCATCATCTTTTGTACCTGCTAATGTTTGTTCTTTAATAAATATGAAAAAATTCAAATTCTAATTTAAACTTTTAATTTTTAGTTTTTGATTAAAATTTATACTTTTGGCTCATTTATAGATAAAATTTTCAAATCACTTGCTTTATTTCATTTTAATAAGAAATGATTTTTAGCTATTTTGGTTATTTCTATTATTAAGAGGTGTTGTTGGTATTGGTGAAGCATCATATGCGACAATTGCGCCAACAATAATTGCTGATATATTTTCAATACCAATACGCAGTCGAGCAATTATGTTTTTCTACTTTGCTATACCAATTGGAAGGTTAATTATTTGTACAATGTATATGAGCAAACTTTCTGATATTTTTTTTTTTTTGTAGAAATATTTTAATTCTTAATAAATTTAAGTTCTTATTAAGAAAAATTATTATCACTGGTCCTAATCATCAATTCTAATTAATCTGATTAATTAATTCACGAAAATTATTATTATATTCTTGTTTTATCTCCGTGATTAGTGAACTTTTCTGGAAATAATAACTTTTAAATATTTCAACGACAATTAATTATTTTATTTCAACAATAAATAACCATCGATTTTTGTTGAAGAAAAAAAAAAGTGCGAAAATTACCAGAGATAATTATAAAACTTGATTGAATAGTTAAACATAATCAAATGTTATTCGTAGCAAAAATATGTAATTTTAAAAAAAAAAATTTTGAATAATTTATTTGAAAATTTTTTTTTTTTAGTTAATTAAAATTAATGAAAAGAAAAATTTCAGTGGTATGGGTTATATTGTATCATCGAATATTTCCTCATTACTTGGTGGTTGGCAATGGGGCATTCGAGTGACACCATTTCTAGGAGTTTTATCTATTGTATTTATCATTTTGATTATGAATGAACCAAAACGTGGCGAAGCAGAAAGTGTTGTTACTAATAATATAAAACGAACATCATATTGGGAAGATATTAAAGCAATTTGTAAAATGTAAATTTACTTTTATTTATTTTTTGAAACAAATTAATTAAATTTTTTCAAAATTTAAAATGTATATTTAGTTTCTTTCTTTTCTTTTTCTTTTTCTTTCTTGGAAAGATTGTTTAAAATATTTAAGTTTTAAAATATGATATTTTTATATTATGTTTTTAAAATTTCTCAAATATAATATTGCAATTTTATTCACTTTGTACATAAAAATTTGCTCATATAACAAACAGTATTTAATGCGCAAATAATTTTTACGATTAATTTTATAAATTTTATTGCTAAATGATATGACATTTTAATGATAATGGATAATTTTTTCATAGAAAAAGTTGAAATTTGTGATTTGAACTCGAATTCGAAAAGTTTTGAACTTGAAAATTTGAAATTTAAACACGAAATTTATATTAAAGAATGTATTAATGATTATCTTAATTGCATTAAATGGTTGTAATTAAATTATTATTGATATATCAATTAAATATTGCATCTAAAAATATACATAATATAAGAAAACGATTTGATTTAATCATTTTACCACATTGTTAAAAATTCTTACTCAACTAAAAAATTATTTGTTATATGAATTTATCAAAAAATAAAATACAAATTTTTATTTGTTTCAGTCCAACATATGTTAATGCGACACTTGCTTATACATCAGTAATATTTGCAACTGGGACATTGTCATGGTGGGGACCAGCAGCTGTTGAACATTCTATTGCTATGAAAGAAAATTTAAATAGTACTAGTGAACTTAGCAGTGAACAAAAAAATAGGTAATTTTGTTTTCAAATTCTTTTTTTCTTCTTTTGTTTTTTAAATGTAATATAAAAATATTTGTTTATGAAAGAGAAAAAAATTTATTATTATTATTAAATTTCTTTTAAAATGATTTAATTATGAAAAAGTATAATGAAAAAAACAAAAAGAAAAAAAAAAAAGATATGAAATTATATTCCACTATTTGAATTTAATAATAGTTTAATAAGTTGGAGTTGGAAGTGTAAAACAAATGTGACAAACGTGGGATGTGCCGAGAAGCGGAGAAATGTGAAACATATGAAGAAATGTTAAAAATACGAGAAACGTGAGAAGTACGAGGAATGTGAAAAAATATGGGAAACGTGAGAAGTACGAGGAGTGTGAAAAAGGATGAGAAACGTGAGAAGTACGAGGAGTGTCGTGAAACCTCAAACCTGGGTAATTAAAACCGACAAATCAATATTATAACAATGCGTAACGAAAGATATAAATTATAAAACATTAAAATGATATCAAAACTACCCCAAAATGCAGAATGAACAACCGTATGGAGGACGATTGTTTATATGCAGAACTGAACTGACCAGATATCCGGCAGAGGATATTTAACTGATGTGAAACAAAGACTGCTAATAAAGGGTTTTGCTAACAAAGGGTTTGCTAACAAAGGGTTTTTGTTGTGTGAGGAAAAGGAATTAGATAAGAGGAATTTGTTAGTTTTGGATATAATAATTTAAATATTTCGTCTTTCACGACAAGGAGTGTGAAAAAATATGGGAAACGTGAGAAGTACGAGGAGTGTGAAAAAGGATGAGAAACGTGAGAAGTACGAGAAGTGTGAAAAAGGATGAGAAACGTGAGAAGTACGAGAAGTGTGAAAAAGGATGAGAAACGTGAGAAGTACAAAGTATAAGAAATAATAAAATAGTTTTTCTAGAAACTACCAAAATATAACAAAAAAAAGCATTTTAATCAGTGTTAATTCATCCGACAGACGTATATATCTTATGAATTTTCATAAAAAATTGATCAATTTGAAGATTAACTGAAATTTTTTTTTTCTCCGTCTCTTAAATAAAAATTTTAAGATTATTTAATTGTTTAAAAAGATATGTAATGTTTAAATATATAAAAAATTATTGGGAAAAATTTTAACTTTTGTTATCAAAATATTAACGCATTTATCACTGAACTTGTCTAATTCTATTCCATTAATTCATAAAATTATTAAAATGTATAACTTTTATAATTGTTATTTATTCTGTTAAATTATTATTGATTATTAATCAAATCAGCATAGACAATAGCGCCCAATAATGTTAACAAAATCGCACAATAATAATGAAATAATAACAGTTATAATCTTATTTACTTATTATATCATACAATTCTTTTATATTATTTCCATTCACTTTAATGCGGTGTTTGTTATCAAATGCCATTTCCGCCACTTTAAGTTATTTTACATTTGCAAATCCATCCAAATGCAATTATAGAATGTATAGAAAAGATTCCATTTTAATCATACCAACAAACAAAAAAGAAAAAATTATTCAGTTAAAAATAAGAAATATAATAAATCATAGCACAAGAAAGAAAAATTATTAAATTGATAAAAATTTGTTAAATTTTGATGATAAGGCAGTGATAAATAGGTGTAATTAAGATACTTTGATAAAATAATATGAAATTTAATTAAATAAATATGAATTAAATATTATGATAAGATGTGAAATTATTACAACATTTGTTAAAAATCGATCGATTGATTTTTAACAAATTATTATAAAATTAGCATTAAAAAAATTATCTAAAACAATTTTTATTTATCTAAATTACTGATAAGTAATATTTCTATTTTTACATAAATTTTTCAAGAAAATTATTTGTAAATTATATAATATTTATTCAATTTCCCAATATTATATTTAAATGAAATGTAAAATTTGTTTAACAAATTGAAATTTTTAAAGAAAAAAAACTAAAATTTTGATAATATTTCAGTATAACACTTAGTTTTGGCATAATAACAGTAGCTGGTGGTATTTTGGGTGTTTCAACTGGTACAATGCTATCACAGGTTTGTTTTAAAATATAATCAAAAAAAGAAATCGATCGATCAATCGATCAGCAAATTGATCAATGGATAACACAATTTACAAAATGTTATAAAATTCAAAGCAATTCTGTAAAATTAATAATTTTAAATATTTAAAATAATATTTGTCATAAAATTATATCAAAAATTTAAATTATTACATTGAATCAAATTCATATTATTAATTTGTTTAATATTAATTACTGAAATGCTATCATTATTCAAAATTAAATTTTCATCATAAAATATTATCCTAATCAAATATTAAATTTCTCAATTTATTCTATTTATTATTATTTTTTTTTTAAAATTATTTTCATTTTAAAATAAAAAAAAGGAAAAACTCGAATGTTTATTGATTGTTTTTGCTAGATTTTAACAAAACAATTCATTTCATTCTCAATTTGTTTTCTTTTCTTTTGTTTGTTTGTTTGTTTGTTTGTCTGTTTATTGAATTCTATAAATTTTTAATAAAATTTAGCTTTGGTCACAAGGTAAATTATGCTGTAAACCTATTAAAACAGTTCGATCTGATGCATTAGTATGCGCTATTGGATCATTATTTGCTATACCATTTCTATTTATGGGCTTACATTTTTGCGCCACAAACATTACTCTTGCATGGGTATAATTATTATTTTTCACTTAATTGTTTATTTAATTATTTTCAAATCAATATTTTACGAATTTTTTAGTGTAAGAAAATATTTTCATTGTAAATTTCTCAAAAAAAAAAAAAAAAAAAAATAAATAAAATAATAAATTTAATTGTAAGAATGTTGATTAAGATTAGATTAATTAATACTAGCTGTTATTTGATGATTAAATGATAATTAAACAATAGATATTTTACTAATTTTACAATGATTAAATTAAATCTTTTTTTTCTTCAATTATAATAAAGTTAATCAATCTTTGACCCTTCAATCAGTTTTATCTTTCTATTCTTTCCCTTCAATTAATTTTTGCATTAATTTTATTTGCTATATGATAATTTTTAAATTCTAAAATTTTCCTTTAGCAAAATTATGTTTTTATTTTTTTTTATAATTAGCCAAAGAATTTTGATTTCATTTACCTTTACAGATATTCATCTTTTTGGCAGTCGTATCATTATGCTTAAATTGGGCTATAATTATCGATATGCTTCTTGTAAGTCTAATTTTTCCTTATTTTCTCTTTTACAAAAAAAAAAGAAATAATAAATAAATTTATTTAAGAATAATTACAAAGTCTAAATAAAAATTAAATAATGTAGAAAAAAATTTTTTTTCCATTAAAAATTAAAATAAATTCAAAAAAAAAAAATTATGGTTTAAAATTTTATTATTATGAGATAATAAATAAATGTATTTGTAATGAAATATGGTTAGAATTAAATGAATTTTTAAGCATAACTCTTTATTTAATATAATAAATAAAAGAAATTTAAATAAATTTGGTAAAACAAAGTTATTTTTTTTTTTTTTAAATTAATTTTTTTGTTAGGATATAATTGTACCACAGCGACGATCAATTGCAAATTCATGGCAAATTCTTATATCACATTTATTTGGTGATGCTTCTGGACCATATATTGTTGGCTTGGTTAAAATATTTTTCATTTTATTTTAGCTAATTTTAATTTTTTTTTTTTTTTAATAAATTATTTGTATAATATATTATGTTGAAATAAAATATTATCATTACATTTAGAAATTAATTCAATAAAATAAAATATTAATATTTCATTTGTAAGTGAGAAAATTAAATAAAATAAAATAGCTATCATTTCATTTATAAAAATACTGAAATAAAAATAAAAATAAATTAAAATATCATTTACATTTCATTTCTAAGTCATAAAAATTTGTAAATAACGTTGCAAATAATTAATAAATAATATTGTTATTTATTAATTAAAAAGAAAAGACATTCAAATTTTTACTTACTTTTCATTTTCTTCATGTTTTTCTTTTTTCTTGTTTTCTCAATTTTTATATAATAGTTTAATTAAATATAATAATTAAAAATTTTAGGTATCTGATTGGATACGAGGCTCAGATGACACACCAACTGCATGTTTTCAATCATTAATTAAAGCATTTTATATACCTAATATTATATTAATTATTAGTGTTTTATTATTCGTTGGTGCTGCAATATCATTTGTTCATGATCGAAATAAATTTTTACAACAAATAGGTTATTAAGTTTTTTTTTTTTAAATTGAAAAATTTTTATATCAAATATATTTGATATAATATTAATTTTTATTTTTTTTTTTTTTTTAATTCTTATACTGTTTTTATTAAAATATTTATATTTTTAAAATATTTTATTATATATTTGATATATTATTAGACTTTAATTTTTTTTTTGTTTTAATTTTTATTAAAGTATTTTTATTCTTTTTTTATCTTTTTTAAAAAATGAAAATTTATTTTATTTTATCAATATTAAAGAAAAGTAAACTTTGTATTAATATTAAATAAATCAATTTGTTAGATTTAATTAATACGCAAAATTTTAATGTGATAATATGTTATCAGGTACACTGCTTAACATTCAATGATAAGAATTTAATACTTTTTTGATAGGGAAATATATATTTGCAGTTATGTTCAAATGAAATTGTTTACAAGTTTAATTAATTTACAGCTATTTTGTTTACCGTAATAAATATGCATGAAAAATTTCTAAAAATTTTGTTTTTTTTTTTTTTTTTATTAAAATTTCTTTTTTCACATAAAGATACAAAATTTGTTTTTTTAAAAAAATAAAAATATTTTCTTTTTTTTTTCAACCAATCGTATTGGTTTTTCAATAATTTCATGATAAAGTTGAATTTGATATTTTTTAACTATTTTTTTTTTAAATGAAAATAGAAGTATTAGGTTTGTTTTTGTTTTTGTATTTTTTTTTTTTTTTTAATAATAATAATAATAATAAATTTGTAAACAATGATATCTTCTTTTTTTTCAAATTTCATTTTCAGGTTATTATTCAAAATATGATTATTCGAGTGCAAAATTTAATGGCAACGAAGTGAAAATTGGAAATGGTGCAAGAAATGATGCATTTCAATAATTATTAATTATATTTATAATTAATAATTTAGTAATTATTCAAGTTTCCTCATTTCCTGTTTTGCTTGTGTAATTGTTATCCGAAATTTTATTACTCAAAATGTTTACTTAATTTAAGTACCAAAGATAAGATTTTTTGAATAAGGTATATTTTTGAATGATTGTAATTTTGAAATGCTTATGAATTAATTTTTTATTTCATTGTTTTTTTTTTCTTTCTTTCTCTCTCTCTCTCTTCCTCTCTGTCTCTCTGACTAATTAAAGTAATTTGTTATTCGCTGAAAGATTTATAAAATTTTTCATTTTCAAAATATTATGTAATTTGTAATATCTGTTGACAAATGTAATTAATTGCCAGCAAATTGCATTAAATTTTTACCTCTCTTCTCTCATTTAAAAATTATTCATAAAAATTTTACCAAAAAAATAAAAAATAAAAATTAAAACAAGTTAGAAATACTATTTTAAATTTTTAAAAATTATGCATTCCTATATAATTTGATTTTTAACATTTCAAATGCTAATTAATTTCAGCATTTCAACATATTTCAATATCAGTTAATTTAAATTAGTAATTAATTGCATCAATCATAATTAATTTTGACACTTTGAAATTTCTTTTCTTTTTTTTTTTGTTTCAAATCAGTAATCATTAATATGTTTTTCTTTTTTTTTAAATATATTTTTACACTATGCTATCATAAAAATTTTGTTACCAAAATTTGTACTTCTATAATTGTATATTTATGACATTAATAATCAAATCAGTAACATAAAAAAAGTAAAAAAAAAAAAAAAAAAATTGATAAAATGCTATGAATTATTGTAGAACCAACAATCAAATTATACATTGATTTTTAAATTTTAAAATTTTGTAATCAAATTTATAATATATTATTATTCGTAGTCTTTGTTTTTCGTTGTTTTCTTTTTCTTTTTTTTTTTTTTTTGAAAGGAAATTATTTGATCATAGTTACTCTTAATTATATAAATAACAAGTTAAAATCCTACCTTAATAAATTATAATTTATTTCAAATCTAATTAAATAGCTAGCTTAATAATTTGTTTATTTATTCTTTTTTTTTTTTTTTATAATAAATAGAAAATGAAATATAATTGTCACACAAAATTTGATAATATTTTGTTAATGTTTGCAAATTATCGGATAATCTGAAATGATTTATTTTGATGTATTATTCATTTTGAAAAATGAAAAATTACATATTCAAAAAAAAAGTGATAATACTTTTTATATGTCTGATCTATTAATTGACATTGTCATATTCCGTTGAAAGATTTTGAAAATATAAACATTGAAAAAAACAAAATCAATTGATCGAAGTGAACATTTAAATTTCAAACCTTCTTTTTTACTTCTGTTTATTTATTTATTGATTTTATTTTTTGTGATCTGTTAACGATATAAGAATTAGTATGAAATGTTTATTATCTATGCAAATTTAGTAGTCTTTCCTCTTTTTTTTCAAATTTATTTCAGATTTATTATCAAAATGTAATTATTTCACAGTTTAAACATTATAATTAGTCTATTTCGTGTTAATTTAATAATGTTAAATTATTTTTAAGATATATAAGTGATAAAGAAAAATTTCAATATAAGTTACTTGTTGGCTTAACATGAAATTATTCAAAATATTACGGAAAATTTTGAATGTTTTAACATTGTTTTGTTATCATATCATCAGACAAAATTATTTATACATTACTGTTTACATTAATAACTCGAATAAATTCCAACTAATTAATAAACTTTAATATAAACAGCGATTTATTTATTAATTCAATTATTTAATTAGCAAATATTGCATAAATTTTGTTAATCATTTCCAATTGATATGATATTCAGCAAATATTGGTTGTTTGTCTAACAAGTAAATGATATCTTCTCGATAATAATAATAGCAATAATTTCTTCAACAATATTAACATTAAAATACATGAAAATAAACTTATTATTTTCATTTATTATTATCATTATTATTATTATTGATTATTATCATTGTTATTGCTATTGTTATTGTCATTATCATTATTATTATTATTATTGCTATCAGTTATTATTATTATCATTAATACTATAATTATATTATTTTATTATTTTTTATTATTTTTTATTATTATTTTATTTTTATTTTATTTTATTTTTTTATTTTTATTTTATTTTTTTTATTATTATTTTTTATATTATTATCATTGTTATTGCTATTGTTATTGTCATTATCATTATTATTATTATTATTGCTATCAGTTATTATTATTATCATTAATACTATAATTGTCATTATCATTACTATTATTATCATTATTAATTAATGTTATATAATGAGTGAAGGGAAGTAATAATTGTACAGGAAAATGTGATGTTTACAGAATTTGTATATGCCAATAATAATGCTTATTGATACTAATATTGGTGAGAAATTATATTGATTTTTTTATTATCATTACCTTTTGTCTAACAATGACTAATAGTGTGACTTTATATTCATATTTGTTTACATATTAATGATTTGATAATTTATGAAAAAAAAATCACAACATGTCGTCAATAAGTTATGCCATAACTTTTCATCTTGGCATTAAGCATTGTTTTTTTTTTATTATAAAAATGTGTAACAATAATTCTTAATCTTTCATTCAAACAACGATCTTTAATTTTCAATCAGAATTGTTATATTTGTTTACAAAAAAAGCAAATTATTTGACCTTCCGTTTCAAGGCAAATGTGACTTTATATTCAAAATGGCATTAGACCTTCAATCTTCAATCACAGTTGTTATATTTGTCTACAAAAAAAAAAAAAAAAAAACAGCAAATTATTTCAGAAATTTATGCCTGAAAAATTTACAACCAAAATTTTCGTGAAAAAATTTCACTCCTCTTTTTTATGAATTTAAAAATTTGTAAACGACTTGTTGGAAATAAAGTATTTCATTTTGGGCAGTGGGCAAACTGCCAAACTGCTGTTATTGCTGCTAAAAAAATTTGAAGCGAAATTGAGAAGTTTGCAAGGTAGTTGTTTGGTTGGTTTCTTTTTTTTTTAACTTATTACAATTGATTCTTTTTTTTTTTCAGTTTATCGTGATTAATTATCACAATTATTCCGAATATGAAAAAAATTTTTCATTTATGAAATGATATCATTGATAACATTGATAGAAACTGTTTATCACTGACATGAATATGATAAGTTAGTATTCCTTATCAGTGGTATTATTTATTTAGCATTACTTTATTATTATTTATTGATGATATTCTATGCTTGTTTGTGATTAAGCATTTAGCTAAAAGAAAAAATAAGAATGAATAATTTTGAAAATTTTACAAATAAATATCACAGTTTTTTCCTCTTCCTTTTTTTTAAGTATTTGATTAATTGCTTTATTTTCATTGCTTATTTTTTCTTGCATTCGAAACAAAGATCTTCAAAGAAAAAAAAAGAAATGGTGGTTATAAATAATAATGCTTACATCTACAATATATATGAATGTAAACTTTTTTTAGTGATTCATAATGAATCATTATTGTTCCAAAAAATTCATCCTCCTTCCTGTCCTTTTCCATTTTTTTCTTCTTTTACTAATAATTTTAATCATTCATTTACTTATCTCTTTGCTTTTATTTATTTATTTATATGCTTAATTATTTATTAACCCTCTTTCATTCTTCACTTCTTTTACTAAACGTTTTTGCTTTTATTTGTTTATTTATTTATATGTTTAATTATTTTCTATGCATTTATTTTCATTTGTTTGTTATTATTAATTGTTGACGTTATTGGTAGCACATTACGAATATCACTTGTACGGTATAGTATAAATCGAACTTACAGTATTGTTAATGAATAAGTTAATAGTAGGTTTTTTTATAATTGATAAATTTTTGCATCATTTTTTTCTTTACTATATTAAAGTTTTTTTTATTGTCAATATCGTTGTGGTGGAAGAACTCAGTATTTTTGATAACACGATTAATTTTTTCAAATTTCTTATAAAATCGTCATATTTTTCATTGTCTGTTATTATCGTGAAGAATTATCGCAATGTAAACATTGTAGTTCTTGCATTTTGAGGATTTTATAAAAGATTGCTAGATGATACATAAAAGTATTACCTTAAAAATTTCCTGGTTTTATTTAACAAATTTTCGGGTTAACATAAAATATATATATATAATTCGAAATCAATGTGATTTTCTTGATTTCAAAATACAAAAAATGATATCGAAAAGTTCAATAAAAAATTTGAATTCCAGTTATTCAATTCGAATGATTAATTTTTCAGTTCTAATGGATTCAGAATTGGACGAAGTTGAGATTGTTTTTGCACAGAAGTTAGCATCCGGTGAGCCGATCATTCGTCGACGAGCATTTCGAACACTATGTGATTGGATTCGAACTGAATCAGCCAAGCGAGGTTTGTTTTTTTTTCTCAGTTTTTTTTACTAATTTACTTATTATTAGATAGAATCGCTAGTATTATCAAAACACATGCGATGTGCTTAAAAAGCTTATATCACCTTTCTGTTGACTTCATGAAAAGTTTTTCACAGCATCTGATAAGATAGTTTAGAAAAGTTATCATTAAAAAAAAGTAAAACCTCATAATGATAACCATTATGCTGTGGAATCACTTCGATTTTTTTAGCGATATTCAAGGATTGATTAGTTGATCAGGTTGAAAAAGACGAGATAGAAAAAGTAGAATGTTAATAATACTATAAATTGAGCTAAATAATGAAGTCAGATTCTTACTTTTCTTTCTTTCAGAATTTGATTATAAAGCGATGTCACATTTGACGAAAGGGTTGCATTATGCAATGTGGATGCAAGATAAAATGTTATGGCAAGAGCAACTTGCTGATAACATTGCTTCTTTGATAAATTTATTTGAAAGAGAAAAGGAATCTGTTTCGTTCATCAAATCTATGTTAGTAACAATTTCTAATGAATGGCCACGAATCGATCGTTGGAGAATGGATAAGTTTCTTATGGTTAGTCTCTCTCCCTCTCTCTGCTTTAATTATTTGGAGAAAATGTAATTTTATAAATGATTGAAAGTGGTGAGGAAATCATTGATAAAATTAAAGTTAGTTAAACTATCAATAGAAGCTTAGCTACAAATTAACTTATAGAAGAATTATTAATTTACATTGGAGTATAAGCAAACTAGTGACGATGTGCTTTTATTTTTTACTTTCACTTTTATTCTTCTAGAATTTATTATTCCCAGTCACTAAAGTGTTATCTAACTTTGGTGAGGAATGTATTAAGCTGAAGTACAAATATTTACTTTTAATAGAAAAAAAATATATTAATCTGTGATGCTGATCTGAAATTCTAAGTTCCAATTCATTTTACTTTGTATTTCTGAGTAGTAGAATATTTTTTCACAGTATTATGTAACCATTCAAGGAAACAGTAGTAACTTGGATTATAATTCTATAAATTGGTATAATCAACCAAATTTGCATGACATTTTTGTTGTTTGTCATAAGTTTTGTTGATCTTTGATGATCTTGTTATCATTTCAGATTTTCAGTATTGCTTTTTTGCTTGCTGTTTTAGCCATTTTTTTTTTTTTTTAATCTGTGTATTTAAAAAAATGGGATTGTAAAATTACTGAATGCTTCTGGATTTAATAATATTAAAATAAATATAATGATTGCAGTTGATACGTCGTCTTGTTCGTGCTCTTTTCCATCGATTACGTTCGAAGGATTGGAAAACAACAATTACTGATATGTATATCAGTGCTTTCAAAGATTGTGTTATTTCAAATGGTTAGATATAAAGTTTCACTTTAAAGAAAAAAGATAAAAAAAATTTTAATATAGAGGCAAATAAGCAAGCAACAAATCTTTGGTCAGCTACTTCTATTTCTTTTTTATAAACACATTTTTTCCATATTTGTCTTTTTCACATTTTTTCTTTTTCAGATAAATCATTTTCGGAAGGACTGAAATTTCATTTCGCATCCGTTTATTTGGATGAATTAGATGGTGCCGGTTAGTTTTTATGTTTAAAATTTTTTTTTCTCTCTCCATTTATTTATCTATTTGTACTGATTAATTTTTGCTATAAACATCAAAACTCTAGAAATTTTTCATTGGTATTTTTGAAAATTATGGATTTTTTTTCTTTTTCAGGTGGCTTGGGACGAGATCAGGTAACGGAACTTTTGAAACCATACGCTGAGCTTCTTGGTGATGGAAAAATATCGTAAGTTGTTCCCTACTATCATAGTAATTTATACGAACTAAACTTATATAGATTTTATCTTTAATAGATTGTAATAATACTTTTTCATAGCGATTTTACTGTCATTTTTCGTCTTGCTTTGGTTTCTTCCTTTTTTTTTTAATTAACTTTAATATAAGATATTAGTGAGTAGTGAACTTCTTTTAAAGAATTGTCATGTGCTCGGAGTTTTTCATCTCATCATTTTTGAAGTCTTATTATATCGAACAATGGGACAATTCTTATTTCCAATTTTCTTATGTTAATTATGAATAAAAATAATTATAAAAACAATCACTGCCTAAAAATATACCATAGAGAGCACTAAAGTTCGTAACATATTTTCCTCGAATAATATCTGTGACATAGCCTTTATTGTATTATTCGTCAAAGGTAGTCAATCAGTTTAATGCTGTTCATTTAATATTTTTAGGAATTATCTTTTTGATTCCATTATACAAGAAATATTCCTATCAATTTTACATCAATATGCTGAAGACAAAGTGGGGAAGAATGGAGCTGATGAATTAGCTACAGAAAGTGCTAGTGATCAAGGGATTAAAGTAAATTTCTGAAAGCTGTTCTTTTTTTGTCAATAAGTTTTAAAGCATTATTGTTTTAATTACATCGCTTAGAATTTCTGCTTAATTTTCATTTAGCTTTAATTGAGCTCATATTCTAAAATGTATTATAGCATTGGCTATCCGTTGTAATAACTGTATAAACATTAAAATACAACTTTAATTTGAATATAAATTTTGTATTTTAGTTCGATTATGCAGAAATAAGTCAATTATTGCTTGAAATTGGGAAGAAACCTGGCGTAAAAAGTGCTCGCAGAAAACGATTATATGATGTATCAAAAAAGTAAATATTATTAGTATGGAATTTGTCCATGTATTTATTAATTTCAACAATTTAAAAAATAAATAAAATATACTGACTGTGAAGATATGATTTCAAGAATTATAGAATTTCTATAAAATACGAAAAATAAATCAATCAGATTTATTCAGCTAATACTTTCTCTTCTCAGTGTTTCATTTTTCTCATCTTTTTTCTTTTTTTTTTTTTTACAAATAATTTTTTTATTTTAAAGGGACACTGAGACGACCTATGCAAATATAATGGAGCATTGCTCAGATTATATTAGTCTTTAGAAATAGTAATGAAATGAAGGAAAGTCATAAAATTTTTTGTTGAGTATTTATATGCTGAAATATAAATTGATGTAAAATATATGATTTTGAAGATTTAAAGCAGTTGAAAATGGTGAGATTCCCTTTGTTATGGTTACAAAAGCACAAACACGATTGAGGACAGATATACCAAAGTCTGAAATAGTAAGCGCTGTTTCACGACTTATGAATGAAGTGGAAAAAGACAAATTAATGAACAAGAAAGCAAAATTGGCTTTAAAAAAGAAAGCATCATTGAGGTAATTTGTTTGTTTTCAAACGTTTTGAATTTTGGTTCATAATGAATTATGAAAAAAATATCAGGAATAAAGATTAAGAAATTGTTTTTTTTTTTTCGAATTATATTTTATTACATTACCTGCTATGTTTTTTCATCTAAAAAAATTTGTGAATTTTTTTCAGAATTATTCTCCTATCCTTTTTAATCTACATATTTTTAGGAGTGCTTCTCAACCTACGAAAGTCCTTAGAAGTACTAAGAAAACGAAGATTGATAAAAAAATGCGCCACCGAAGTGGTGTGATTCGTAAAAAGCGCAAGCAACAAAAGCTCTGAAGTGTCAAATATTTATTGAAATATTTCTTTGACTGTATTGGCATGTTTTTAATGTTTTTTTTTTTTTTTTTCTCTTTTCTTTAGATCAGAAAAATCTAATAAAAAAGGAAGTTTGAAGTTGCAACAATACCAGCTATAAAATAGTTTGATGTTAGTCAGAAAAGTTGGAAAATAAAAGTGGGATAAGTTCTATTCGAATTGCCATTTCCTTTCGGTATCATTTTACGAAAAATGTTGTAATTTGAAAAGGTGTCTTTGTTTCTATTTCACTAAATTTTTTCAAGTGAGTTAAAAATTTTAATCTGAGAAATATATTGTCTAAATATTTTTCATGAAGCATTTTATACTACAATTTATTGCCATTTATCAAAATTGTTTCCTTTTTTTTTCTGCTTAATAAATTTGTTGAATTATATTTTCAATAACAAATGATTATTTTTGCGATTACTTTTGCGAACATAATCCCTTTTTTTAAAAAAATTTATTTTGTATCATTACTATAGGATTTGTATATCTTTAAAGAAAAAATTGAACTATAAATCAAATATTTATTTTACAGAGTAATTTACAAATGTTTATATTGAATACAACGTATCGTAATTGCATGAACGTTTCACTCTCTATTACTCTCATATTTCTTGAATTACTTTCAAAAAAAAAAAAAATAAATATCACCTGATGCTTCACACATTTCATTAATCATTTCGAATTTTAAACACATATGAGGTTTGATGAAATGTAACAAACATTTTCATCATATCTGTTAGTTATTATTAAAATTTTATGATAGACAAAGAAGTATAGCACATTCAAATATTCATTTTAATTTAATAAATTATTGTGTTAAACTTTCTTATTCATTCTATATTTTTGAGTATGAAAATGGTACTGGAATGAAGTAAAATAATAAATTATTCATTTTCTTATTTTAATAGATAAAAGAAATGCTTAGGTATAGAAATGGAAATCGGAAATCAAAAATAACACTAGGCATTTGATTTTTAACAAAATTTGCTGAATTAAAAAAAAAAATCCATTAGACTATTTAGTTTTTCGCAAGATTACAATAACATAAGCTCATTACCATTAAATCATCTTAGGTTTTTAATTGTCTTAGATTAAATTATCTTAGATGGTGCTAGTTATATTTATCAGTATATGCATAGTTTTGTTATTTTTCAATAAATAGATATTACACATAAAATATTGCACATGTAGATTCATCAGTTAATAATCTTAATACATGGAAAAAGAAAGTTAATAAATTTAGATTATCATTTTTCATGTATTTAAGGAATTAGGAAAAAAGAAAAACGGTCGTCTTTACGACTGATTAAATTTATGTGTTCCATTTGAAATGCTATTTTTGTCATCATTTGATTGCCAAAGCTTCACAAGTACCTAAATTAAGAGAAATTAAATAAATTTATGCTTCGTCCACTAATTACTTAGATAATTTTTATGAATTCATGAATTCCTTCTCTCTCTTTACTTACAATTCTTCCTGTTCTATAAGAATTATTTTTTGCTAAATTTTTGAAAAGAATGAAACAATGCCAATTATTTAACAGTTCTACCTATATCAATAATAATGGGTACTCTTGCTAAAATTTTTACTCATAATTATAATGTAAGAAAAAATATATTCCAATATTTATGTTTTATAGTTAGCTGAAGTATTACCATAGTTTTGAGAGAATTTGTAACTATGCTATTTAACGAATATTAATGTTAGAAAGAAACAATCTTACCTTCTCATTTACGTATCCTGTTTCAGGTACTGAATCTGGACTTTCTTCCTTTGAATTGCTAGGAATTATCATATCTTTTTTCTCCGCACTGCTTCGAAGAGATGGCATCTAAAATTTTATCAATGGAATTTGGAATTTTCAAAAATTTTTTGTTTTCAAAATTTTTGTGATGTTGTACTTCATTTTCCAAATGCATAAATGATAAATAAAACGCAATTTTGGAAATGAATGTGTAAGATTTTTGTCGCGCCACAATATTTCATCTTTATTGTTAAAAGGATATAAGAAATTTTCATGCTTATATTTGTTAATATCTTTTCATTTGTTTAATTCAATTATAAAATATATAAAAGTATATTCCTCTCCTTATTTTACCATCATGGTAAATATTTTGAACTATATTGTATAAATATAAATGTAGTAATGCCTAAATAAACATATGTATTGTATATATCATCCTAATTACTTATGCATTTAATACAAAGTAAGATTTAAAATTGATAATGAAATTTCCTTCACCCTAAAAAACATCAATTACTTTGCTTAAATTTATGTCTCCAGTAATTTTTTGAAGGAAAAAATAGTACTTGAAGTCAATTTTTTCAAATAATTCTCAAAATATTGATTAAATATTTTGCAAATTAGATTAACCTACTTCATGATGTTTGTTTTTGCAATGAACCGCTAGATGACGACGTTCGCTGCATCGTTTGTCGCATGTTCCGCATGCAAAAGCAAGCTCTGAGATGCCAAGATGTCGTCGACGATGTTTTACAAATGCAGCTCGATTTTTCAATGGTTTTGCGCAAACATTGCATAGAATTGAGCTGTTTTTCTGTTTTGAAATATAAAAATTCAAAAATATTGCATAATGAATTTATAAATAGAAGTTCATAAATAGAACATATCATAAGTTCATTTTGCAAACCAATCACAGTGCAATATAATGACCACTTTTAGATAGCATAAAATACAATGAGACATTTTTTAAAAGTTTTGCATAAATGAAAAATAATTCAACTATACCAGTTTTAATAAAAAATAGACTATGATTTGGGAAATTTACCAGAATTTTTATCAGAAAAACAACAAATAATTTGCATTTGGCATATATCTTGATAACGCTTCGTTCTTTAAATCAAACCTATTTAGATATTTTCATCTGATTAGTATTTAAATTAATACTTGAAATTTCAATGATTGAAATTCCAGTTGAAAGTTTGAAATAGATTATGGATTAAGTTAAATTTATAGCAAACTTAGTAATATCTAACATTTTCAGTACGATTTGCACTTCGGGTTCGTTTATCAGTATTATTATTCAACTGATTAGGCACTCGTTGATTGCACTGCTGAGGATTAGGTACATTCTGCATACTGCAATATATTTCTCCTTTAGATAAAGTTCCAATGAATGAAAAGTTTTGAAAAAAAAAAAGTTTAACAAAATGACATGAAATTACCTGTTATTCGCTGTTTTAATCTTATCCAACATATCTCCCATAATTTTTTGTAAATCATCAGCAGATATTGGCAGATCATGAGCAGATAAATTCAAGTTTGCAACTGGACTAATAGCCAATAACGGATTAACCAACAAACTCCATAATACATTGGTAAAGAGAGGAAGGATCAAATTAGGCTAAAAAGCATCAAATTAAAGGATTTAAAAAAAAAAAAAAAAAAAAAATAAAGGATTTAAAAAAAATATCGTATGGATAAAAAGAGAGAGGAAAAGAGACTACTGACACAAATGAAGTAACCTTGAAATAGGACATGAATTGAATTCGAGATAAATTTGAAAATTAGATTGGCAATTACAAAAACTGATATTATTTGATAACTATAAATAACTATAGGCTATAAAGTTGGAATTACATATAAATCACTTATTACACTGCTTTTCATATACTAAATTAATCAATTATTATATTGTTTTTCCATGTTTTAAGTAAATATCATTAAGACATTCTCTTGCTAATAAGTTGAAGTGAGAAATTTCAAAGCAACCTGTTCTTCAAGGAAATGTTTGAGAGCATCTTTTGTTGCATTATATTGGATCTCATATACAAGCATTAATTCATTAAAAAGAGGTATTTCGAGCAAAGACGCCAAGTCGATCATGGATTGATTGAGAAACTGAAAAAACAAAGTCATTCTATAAAATATTGATTACTTTTAGGATTTCATTAATACATTAATGTTTGCCATTAGCTTATTTCATTTCTATTTTAAACCTATGTTAACTTAAGAACCAGAAGAGCTATGCCAAAGAATAGCAAATTTGAAATTTGATTATTCTATTCATATAATTACAAGAGATCACACTCAACAATAATTCAAGTTCAAATCTTTTTACCGGTTTCCATCTATTTTTCAACCATGAATTAATTTCGTAAACTGTATATTAAGAAAAAAAAATAATAAAAAATAGGTAAAATGATTTTTGCTTACTTCAATTTGATACAAATTTTTTTATTCATGCAATGATTACAAATTTTATGTTTTTACAATTTTAAACTTGGTTGACCATTAAAGAACTGATTGGGAAAAACACTGATGAAAACCAATTTCTCGTAATTTCCTATACCTCTTTCATCTTTTTGGCACTATTTTTTGTTTTTGGTATAGTAAATTTTAAAAATTTTGCTCATATCAACAATAAAATATGATAAGTTTTACTTAAAATTATTTGATAATCATTTATATTATTAGTAGAATAACATTATTATCAATTACATTGTTACTGGTATTTGAAGATTGTGGTTGATTATCAACTTTTGAAGTACTATTATTATCGCTTGCAAATGCTGATATATGCTGTTGTTGATTGCTATTAGCCATTAATAACTGCAAAACACAATGTTAATTATCCAGAAATGAAAATATCAGCACTTATCAAATAAATTACTTTATCAGGTACTCTTAAAATTTCCAGTTTATTTTAACTCCTTGATTACCAAAAATTAAGAGAATCATGTCTAAAGAAAATTTATCCGTTCTTTTTTTTTTTCCTTTTTTTGAAAAATTTGATCAGATTTCTAATTATGAATTAATAATTTTTGATTTCTTAAATACTAAAATAAAAATCAAAAAATGGAACTAACTAAACCTATCACTTAGCTAACAATCAATGACATCAATTTTTTGTATGTAAAGCTGAAACGGAACAAACCTTCGTTGCAGCTAACAACCGATGAAACAAGAAAGAAATGTATAATTGACGATAATGAAGAGCAACTCGATAACGCCGTAAAACTTCGAGCTGTAGATGACTGAGACTGAGCATACTTCCTTTCCTGATATGCAAATTTTGATTAGTCAAAACTATGAACATATTCTGGATATATACAGAAAGAGAGAGGGAGAAGGAGAAAGAGGTAGAAAGGGATAGTTATACTTACAATCAACCAATCACAATTACTAAAGATTCTACCTCATTACAAAACATATTACTGCTATTGTAATCAAAAATGAATTTTGTAAGGAATTTTGCATAATGATTGTTATAGGTAATATCGAGAAGGTATATCGTTACTATTATTCAAATATTGTTACAAATGTAAGTTTTGTTGTAAATATCACCAAAATACACCTTAACAGTTTCTTCTATAGATAATAAACAAAAATAGCACCATCACAACTCAGATAATCATCATAAGCAATAGATTATTCTATAGCTATGCTATGGCAACCTGAAGAGGTACCATTCAATCATAGGTTCCATCATAGATTGCTGTCACTATAGCTTAAATACTACCATAAACATAATTTCTGCCATCAATATTATAAAAGTAGTGCTACCGTAACTAGGATGGTACCACAAATACAGCTACTATTACTATCATTAGCTACCATTAGCGCACCACAATTATTAGATACCACCATTATTATTAAATGCCACCAGAACTACAGGTTTCGTCATAGACATTAATCACCAAAGCTATTTAATAATAAAAATATTACCGCAAATATGCTAACAACCGGATTATTAGCATATCTAACCGGAAGAGCTAGTCTTCCGGTCTGTTCAAGTTGAAGATAAAAATACTAAAAGTACTATCAGAACAGCTTATCAACTAGATTTATCGCAATAAGCAATCATCAAATTTCGAACAGATATATAGAACAGCGAACGTGCAATTTCGAAAAATGAATTTGAAATTAAAGGCGCCAATTTGTGGGACAATTTCTCTTGGAATGAATTACAGTATGGACCTTGGTATTTTGGTACCTTGGTACCAAGGTGTCAGTATTACCAATATATATGGTACCTTATATGACGCCTTAATTCTTTTTTATTTAATACTTTATATCATTTGATATAACTATCAATCAATCAATCAATCAATCAATCGTTTTATCATTTTCATATCATTGTAAAATTGATAATTGATATCACATAGTATTATATGAAAAAAAAAAATTTACTTTACTTAGATATTATAATTTTAACAAATATTTGAAATAAATTTTTTTTCATTTTAACAAATATTTGAAATAAATTTATTTAATTGTGTTATATTTTCTAAATAAAATTTAAAAAAAAAAAAAATCAGAAATTTTTTTTTAATGCAAAAAAACATTTTATTTAATTATCATTTATATTTGTGTTTGGTGTTTTCTACGTTTATCACTTTCTTTTTTTTTTTTTTAAATTAATTTTTATTTTACTGTTAATTGTTTTTAGTTTTCTTCAATAATAAATTTTTATTTTTATTCATTCCTTTCTGATATTTTTTTTTTTTAATATTTTAATTACTATTTTAAATTGTTTATTCATTTTTTTAAAACAGTTTTACAGCATTTACTTGTTTACTTCTTCTTTTTACATTAAAATTTTTTTTTTGTTCTTTATTTTCACAATATATTTTATACTTTTATTTGATTTTTTCTATAGTTATTATTTTTTTTTTTCAAATTTAATTTTTCTTTATTGTTAATTGTTGATGACTAAATTGCTAGCAAAAATTGATTGAATTAAGTTTAATGTTTGTGAAATTTTTTTAGCGATAATTTTCTAAAAAAATTTTTAAACTATCAACGAAATAAGTGAATAGTGAAATACTCAACAAATTTACAAATTCAATTATTTCAAAAAAACAAAAAAAATTTTTTTCTTAATGAAATTTTTTTTTTGATGCAATAAATGTCCATAGAAGGCTCAAATCAAAGAAAAAAAAATCACTTAGAACTGATAATTAAAAATTTTAAAGAATTTTAAATTTACAGTTAGCAATTTTTACTATCTTATCTTAATTGAAATTAATGAGTTTAAAATTTTTTTTAATCATTTATTTCTTTTATTGTTAAATGAATTCACAGCTGTTAATAAATTTGATCAAATTAAATTGTGTCAATTGTCTTGAAACCTTAAAGTAAGTCAAAGTTATATGAAATGAATGCGATAACTGATTAGATTGCTGATAGCTGTCAAATTATTTCTGATAATAATCAGTAATCAATTATTATTACTGTAAAATTTATCACTTTGTATATTTATCATTAATTGCTGAAATTACAACCAACTTTTTTTCTTTAAATTTCTTCTGTCTGCTTATTATGCATTTCATCGCTTTATTATGTTAGTAAAGTAAAGTAAAGTAGAGTAAAGTAGAGTAAAGTAAACTAGATTATATTATAACTTAAATAAAGATTATATTATAACATAAATAATACATCATAACTTAAACGAATGTTTTACAAATATAAATTTTTTAATGAAAAAAAAGATTCAATTAATTTATTCATCTTTCAATTATTAAATTTAAATATTATATATTTCACAAATTGTTTTTACATTAATTTTCATAGTTGACGGATTAATTCTTTCATCAGCAAATTGCATACATTACTGTATTATTTTCAATAACTTTAGGTTTAATGAATAAATAATTTTCACTTCTAATTGATCAGTTGACTTTGTGGACAAATTTCCATTTCAAATTTACAAACAGCTCTGCTTCCTTTAACAATTTTCATCAATGAGATTAAAGACAAAATTAAAGAAAAAAAAAAATTAAACCACAAATTGATTTAATCAATAATCTATAAATCCAATTATCTAATAATTAAAGTTAAAGTTATTAAATTTAACAAAATGCAAATGTGAAAATTTTTATTTCAATATTATAAAATATATAAATTTAATAATATGCTATCTTATTTCAAAACAGAAATAAAGCGAAAAAAAGGAGATGTAAAACTTTCTAAATGTGTTTATTTTAGTCACAAAAATAATTTTTTTTTTTTTATTTTAGTTTAACCAATAAGTGTTTTTCTTTGTTTAATTCAATAGTTTATCAATTATATTTGCTTATCAGTAAAAATCCAAAATAATCTCTTTATTGTTGTTTATTATGCAGATGACAAACTTTTACAGAACAATGAAATTGATAAAATTAAGAAAAATAATTTATTCAAGAAAAAAAAAATTTGTTTTTTACCCGTCTTAGTGTTAAATTCATTTAATTAGCATAATTTTTTTTTTAGAATTTTTCTTTTTATCAACTGCGTTGTGATGATATGGGAAAGCGTAATGCAGATGATATACGAGATTTTGCTGAATTTGATAAATATTTACGTGGTGATATGTTATCACCACGTAAAAATGGGTATTCGAATGTATGACGTATTGTTATAGCTGCTGCTGTTAATGTTCCACTATAAGCCTATAAATTAATGATAATTAGATTAAAAAAAAATGAATTATCATTTTCTATAATTGGAAGATAATAGTTCCTTTTTTTTTTCTCTTTCCGTTTTTTTGTATTATTTTAAAATGTCATATAGAAAAGAAAAAAAAAAAACATTTGAGAAAAGTTAGTGAAAAAAAAAAAAACAAAATTGAAGTTGCATTTTGCATCATTTTTTAAAATCATATTAAAATTATTTAAAGAAGTAGTGAAAATGAAAAAGCAAAATTAAATTGAATGATTTATTTGCAAAAAAAAAATCAACGACCTATTATAAAATGAAATATAGTAATTTGAATTTTGATATACAAAAAAATTATTTTAAGATAAAACATGGTGAAACAAATATTTTATTTTATTTTATTTTTTTGGCTTATCAGTTCAATTATTTGATTTTTTTCTTGTTTTCTCTTGAATTATCTATTTTATAATGGATCTTGAAATGTTTATTTTATAATAATTATAATAAATTTTGTTTATTTTTTTTGTTTATTTTCCTATCTATTATCTGAATTATATGTTCTTTCTTACTTAAATTATAACTTTTAATTTTGTGCTGAAAATGTACTTATCACTTGTGCTAGAATTTAAAATGTAATGTAAATGATAATAAGTGATAAATTTAAATTGTTTAGTTTTGGTTGTAATTTAGGGAGCACAAAAGTATATAATTTAAAAAAAAAAAAAAAAAAAACAGGTAGCAAGCTAAATAATCCCAGTTACTAATAGTTAATAATAAATGATAATTTAAAAATTTTTTGTTCAACAAATTTTTTGGTAATAAATAATTTTATATTATTTTTACATCTAATATCCAGTAAAAAATTGTAATCTTTTAAAAACTATGAAATTTTTAAAATGAACTTCAAATTTATTTATAAAAAAAAAAAAAATGAAAAATATCAGGCTAAAAAAAATTTTTATTTTATCAAAAAAGAAAAATACTTTTTTTTAACTTACTTTATCAGTATTTTTTAAACCAAGATACTCTTTCACAATGATACGATATTTAGAGCTAAAGATGAGATAAATGAAGATTGATGTTGATGAATTTAATGACACTAAAATATTGGCAATCTCGACACTTTTCTCGAATGCGCTCTCGTTCTCACTGTTATCAATTTTATCCACAAACATTAATATTTCGATGATATTGTTGCAAAATGCTAGGCCTATAAATTAGTGTTAAATAAATAAATTTAACAAAATTATTTCAATTATTTTTCATCTTTTTTTTTTTTGGATTCATAATGATGTAAATAAAATTTAAAACTTTTTTTTTTTCTTCAAATTTTAACATTGTTTTTTTTTTTTCAAGTTTTAACATAAAACATTGTTTTTTCTTTAAGTTACTAAAGTCAATAATAGCACATAAATCAACTAAAAAAAATTAATAAATATATAAACAAATAAACGAAAAAATAATTTTAAATTTCAAATTAAATGATCATTGAATCAAATCAATCAGTTATTTAAAAAATAAAAAATTTAAAGAAAGATTTTTATGGTTTAGCGACATACACATATGTATCAATAAATAAATAAATACTAGATCTAATTATTTATCCATTTTTAATTTAATTTATTAAGATGAAAGGATAAATTGTATAAGTTTCAGTTCAACAAAAGAAGAAAAAAACTATGAATATTAATTTAAATCAAAATTTTGATAGATTAAAATTTAAAATGAAACAAACAAACTGACCATTACAAGTGAGAAACATAGCAACAATAGCTAAAAGCATTAATGTCACCGAACTGTCACGAGTTGACGAATGGAAATTCGATGCTGGTTTAATTGATCTCATAGCCATCGGTCGAAAACTGCAAATATATATTAATGCCAAAGTATTCTCAAAATTTTATTTAAGTTCAAATTGAATAATCAATCAATCGATCAATCGATTAGATATTAGAACAGGAATTTCGAGAAAAAGATTTTTTATGGTTTAGCAAAATACACATTGAACTAATTATTGGAATATAATTGAGAAAATCTTTTTGTCATATTAATTTAATTTGTCTGATCAAATAGGAAAGAAAAATTTGATAAATTAAATTAATATTTACCTGGTAGAATTAGCTGAAGAAAACTGTGAACCAGTAGTTGCAGATGATGAATTTAATATCACTGCCATTTCATTTTGAGCATATTTCTGACTAAAATTATTTATTTTTGTAATTTAAACTTTTGTAACTAATACTTTTCAAACATTATTAATTAACAAATTTGCAAATAATTTCAAAATATAAATTATACTATAATTAAAAAATGTGAGAAAAAATTTTTCTTTTCAAACATTTTAAACAATAATCATATTTTTTTGATTGAGGAATACATTTCAACCAACAAAAAATTTTCTCTTTTCATTTTCTTTCAAAATAAAAAGTAAAAAAAAATTTTTTTTTTTCTAACAATAAAATAAGAGTAAATAAGTACAAACCTGTTATTTGTTTTTGATAAGGATGATTTACCACCTGTATGCAATGCTCTCATATTTGTGCTATGTTTAAGAGCAACAATAATGCATGTGTTGACAATAATTAGAATTACAAATGGAAAAATAAACATAACTAATGTATAGGTAATTACTTTCATAATAATTCCATATGTATAATCCATTTGTAATTCAGTTAATTGAATATGTCTAAAAAATTTTTTTTTACCATTTTTTTTGGTTTAAATTTTAATTTTCTTTTTTGAAAAAAAAAAAAACAATTATTTATAAGTAATGAATTAATAAATAGAATTTATTGAGATTTGAATCACATAAAATCATATTATTGCATATCATTGCTAAATTGAAATTATATGTCATATACATTAAGCATTAATCTTAATTTGCATTTTATTATAATTTATTAATTTCATAGTATAATCTGACTTTAACTTTTTCAAAAAAAAACACTGACAATTTGTTTTTTCTGAAAAAAAAAAATTCAAAATTTTGATAAAAATTTAACCTTGACAATCGATGAAATTGTTTACTGTAACATGGAACAACAGTAAGTTCAAGCCATGTTGTCGCATTGATAACAAATGAAAATACAACAGAACCAAAAATAGCACATTTTACAGGTTTCCTAATCAGAAAAAAAAAGTAAATTAATTAGCTTATATTTAATTAGAGAATTACTTTTAAAATATTTCGTTTATTGTAATGTTTTCTCATTTTTGTATAATTCATGCAAATTAAAAATTGTAAATTTTACACAAAAATTACAGTCGCTGTAACTATATATGTATACAAATTTATAAACAAACACTTTTTATGCATTGAAATAAAAAAAATTATATATGAATGAAAATAATTTGTGAGTAAAAAATAAAGTAAAAATATTTTGATGAAAAAAAAAAAAAAGAAATGAAATTATCGTATGCATAAATTACAGTAATAATTTGCAATGATACTGTAGCACAAATGTCTTAATTATGATCCATACTGTAACATTCATTTTTTTTTTTTTTTTTTTTTTTTTTTTTCCTTTAAGAAAATGAAAATTAAAACCCTGTAATCCATCGTTTTGCTTGAAATGGATGACAAACACCGAGATAACGATGTACTGATACAAATAAGGTTAAATAAACACCGCATGTTTGTGCTATCCTTGCTAATGGATAACTAAACCTGAAATGCATGTATCTCATTTATTATTGCTTATCTTGTTTGTTTGTGTGTTTTTTTTTTTGTTTGCTTGTTTACCCATCTGTTTGTTTATTTATTTATTTGTTTGCTTATTTATCTGTGTTTCTGTTTGTTTGCTTGCTTATCTGTTTATTTTGGTTACCATTCATTCATCCTTTTGTTATCATTGTTATTTGTTTATTTACACCATTAATTATTATTGCCGAAGTTAGCACATTTTTTTTGGATAACATTGGATTGAATTGATAATTTATTATTATAAAAAAACACAACAGCAATTTTCTCTTATGAAAATTGTTTGTTTCTGATTTTTTTTTACTATAGTTATTTTTATGATAATTTCGAATTTCAAATTCTCATTTTTTAACTTCTTATAGGATAATAGCACAAATTTTGAGTTCAAAATAGAAATTCAAAATCCTTCTTATCGATTTATTTTTTTTTTCTTTACTAATTTCTCTTTTTTTTTTTTCTTGAGTAACTTCCAGGGCAAAAAAGCTTTTCTCATCTTTTTGATTTATGAAACTGCACTCTCGAGAAATACTGAAAATGTTATTTTTGACAAAATTGCTTGAAATAACATTTTCCAACTAACATTAAATAAAATTGAACAGTTGGACGAAAAAAAAAAATGAAACAAAAACAAAAAAAAAGACACTTCTAATAACTTTTTGTTGAAATCCAACGAATTTTTATTTGGTTTTTTTCATTCAGTTAAATCAGTCATTCAACAAAATCTTTTAAATTACCTTAGAAAATGTTTTTCTTCAAAAGTTATTTCAGTTGCGAAAAAAATAATAGCATTTTTTTTTGATTTCAAATATTTTGAAAAATCATCAAAAAAGAAAGTATATCAAAACTTTATTAAAAAGTTTTTTATATATATTTTTTTTTTTGCAAAAAAAATATTGTACTAAGTTTTATGTTTTATTAAATTCACTATTTAAATTTTATTTTCGTCCAATTCAGAATAATCTTATAAAGGCATAATAGGTAAAATAAAATAAATAATTAAAATAAATAAAATTTAATTTTTAGTTATCGCTGTTTGCTTCTGATCTAATGACTTTTAAGTTTGAATATGTATAATGTTTTTGAAATTTGTAATCAAAATGTTGTATTGCTGAAATTGGTAAGCTGTAAATTTTTTAATGTCTATTTTAAACTACAAATTATTTGTGCTATAAATGGCTAAATGTCTCTTTTCATTTTTAAATTCATTATTGTTTTAAATACCTATCAAAAAAAAAAATTTCAATCTGTGATCATTGATTTATTTAATCTGCTATTTATTATAGATTTATAACAATTTCGAATTTTAGGTTGAATTCAGGTTGAATTCAATTAAATCATTATAAATATTTAATTTTTTTTGCAAATTTTATGCTTAGTAATAAAAATAATGAATGGCGATAAGTAATGAAATGTCATTAATGGTATTTTTAAAAATATTTAGCAATTTCTTTCTTTTTTTTCTTGCTTTTTAGAATTATTTAAAAGTTAAAAAGATGAATGCAATAAATGAATGATTTATTTTTTAAAAAAAACGCGAGAGAGGAAACTTGCAAAAAAAAACTAAGTAAACAAAATAACAAAAAAAAAAGAAAAATCTTTTAAAATTTGAAACAGAAAAAAATGTATTAAATTATAATTTTAAAAACAATTCTTTTGCAATTTCTTTTTTTGACGCTTTTTTCTTTTCTTTCGATTTTTTTAAAATTAATGAAAGAAAAAATGTAAACAAACCTGAGTATTACAGGATAAATATCTTGCAGTGTAAAAGAATTAGAAAATAATGCAATTACTGGAAATAGAAGAAAGAAGAAATTAAAAATAAGCAATAGCAAATCAGTAATGCTAATTGTAAGCAAAAATAAATTTACCAAACTGCGTCGCATATCAGCATGCGAAAAAATAATTATATTAATTAGATTAATAATAATACCAAATATTGAAATTGGTAAATTACCATATAAACGATAATCTATTTGATCATTTGTAAAAATACTATCTAAGCAATATGCTATACTATAATTATGGATTAATGATTTATTCTCGAATAATTCCATTTTCTTATTTCGTTTCTTTTTTTTCCTTTTCTTTCCTCTCTTTTTGTTTTCTCTTTCTCACATCCTGAAAATTTATTTATTTACTTACACATATAATTAATTAATTAATTAAAAACATTATTATACTATCATTTACATTGTAATGATTTTTACTGTAGTGCAATTGCTTTTTTTTTTTTTTGCCTTTTTAAAACCAAAATGATATGAAATATAATTTAATTTTTTGTGTTTTAATTAATTTTTTTTTTTAAAAAAAGAAGAATAAACTAAATGTAAATGAATTTTAAATTATTTAAGCTGAACAATAATAGAAAAATAAAATTGCATGGAATTTTTAACATTTATTTCACACAGTTGATAAATAATTTAGTCCAGGATTACTTTTAATGATATTTGTCATATTTAGAAAAAAACAAACAAACAAACAAAATAAAAAACAAAAGCTTTGTTTATTTATTTTTTTTCTGTACAATTTAATTTTTTCATTTTAAATTTAATCTAATTTAATTTACTTAAAGCAAAAAATTAGCAAAAAGGAAAAAATTATTTCATCGTGATGCATAAAATATTCCAAATGTTATGATGAAAAATTCAATTTAAATTTATGAAAAATATGTCAAATGCATCATGCATGTTAAATTACGGTAGTAGCAATTTAAAATAAATTTACGTGTTACGTGAAAAGTTAAATTAACTAGCAATATCATTATTGAAATTGATGAAGAAATAAACATAGTTAAATATATAAATGATATTAATGATTAGTAATATTGCATGAATATATACATGAAATGAATTTAAAACGAATGCTAAAATTTTAGCGTAAACATTTCTCAGAGAATTAAGAACTTTTTCAGAATTATTTGAATAATTTAATAGATTATAGCAGATTTAATTTTTTTTTTTCTAATTTCTTTTTCAGTTTCAACAATTTTTATTTGATAAATGATAAAGAATTACATTGGTTTAATTATTTGGTAATTCTGATGAAAATTTTGACAAATTAATTATGTGATAACTCCGCAATTAATGATTTTATTGTTCAATTAATATAATAATCATTAATTAATCAATAAATAGTAACCGATGAAAAACTATTATCAAGGAATGGATGTAAATCATAATTAATAATAGATTATGTTGTTTATATCGATCACATGAATGATTGAGTTTATATTTAATTCTTATTATATTTAATCATTTGATATTTTTCGAAAAACAAAAATGCAAGGATATATTTGAAATATACAAATCAAAAAAAAGCGAAGAAATCAACTTATATGCTAATTCAATTTAATATTAAAGCATTTCAATTGGCATAGGAATCATTAATTAATTAATAAATAGTAACCTGTTGGAAAATAAATAACTACCTTGTCAAACAAAATTGCTGATAATGAATAATAATTTTTTTTTGTAGATTTTTTTATCAAAATATATTTTAAAACAAATTTATTCAAATTTTAGCAATAATAAAATAAAGGAATTGATAAATTAAATTTAATTTATCCTTGATACAAAATTATGATAGTGATAAAAGAAAATATTGTTATTACTCTATCACTATCACAATATCTAGTGAAACATAATAATTATACTACATTAATATGTGGAGTAATACTTTTTCTCACTTTTTCCTATCATATTTTTTTCGCCTAGAAAAGGTTCAATTTAATTAAATATTTGAACTACCACTTTCTATCGCATTCTATTTCCCTCGGGAAATAAAGCAAATAAAAGAAGAAGCAGAATGGATCAATTCTTAACTATATTTTAAATTTATCATGAAAATTTTGCAGCTTCAATTAAAATTACACTATATTAATTTTCATGTTTTTCTGAGCTAAATTAATCTTTTAATAAAGGAAAAAAAAATTTTTTTCAATAATTAAGCATTAATTACTTTTATTATATCTTTTAATAGTATTTTTTATTTTTTTAAAAAAAAGACTTTATAACCAAATTCTGATTTCTATTTTTTAAATTTATATTTTAAAAAAATCTATTTTTTAAAAGAGCATATCAAAAAATTAAATATGTTTATAAATGCGGTAAGACATTTATTTAAACAAAAATTTCAATGTGTTCTTTTTTTTTTTTTTCATTTGCAATTTATCCCATTCACTTCTTTTTCATTGAAAGCTCTTCAATAACAAAAAAAAAAGGAAAACGAAAGGCACCAAAACTATATTTGCATTCTTGAGATCAAAAAAGAACAAAAAAAAATTTTTTTTGAAAGTTTTGGCAAAGATGAGTGTTTCAGAAAAGAGTAAAAAATAAATTTTAAGAGGAAAAATTGAATTCTTTTATTGAAAAGCTTTTAGTTCGAAATATTTTATTCATTGATGTTCAAGAATTACATACTTGTAAAATGAATCGAAATTATAAAATAAATTTGAATATTATTAAAGAATTAATTGGGATAACCAAAAGAAAAAGAAAAAAGAAAGAAAAAACGAAAGGATTAATTTATGAAAATGAAGAATGCTAAAATGTAAACAAAATTTTGATGAATCAACAAAAAAATTTATTAATTATGGAAAAAACAAAAATTTAATATGCATTATTTATGAAATATTCTGAAGTACCACGATTAAATACATAAATAAGTTGAAAATTATACAAATTAACAGTGAAAATTTAAAAATAAATCAGTTTAAAAAAATAAATTTAAATGATAGTTATGGAATTTAAAAATGAAACGACAAAAAGGATAATGGAAAACAATTGCAATATTCAGGAAAGGAGAAATTATGAGAAAAAAATGAAAAATGAAATAATGGAATTTCAACAGATTTTTTAAATTTGAAAAAGAAATAGAAGTCGCACATAGATGATGGAAAAGGGAAAGAAAAATTGATAATTTGAATAAAAATTGTTGAAGTGTAACATATTTCCATTGATTTACATCATTTTTTCATATCATTTCAATTATTTTTTCTTTATTTTTTTGAAAACACGCAATTTTTCCTTTCCAATGGTATTGCTTGTTACTTAATACTTATCATTTAAATCTGAATCAAAATGAACTTGTATTGATAGTTAATGTTGAGAGAGTGCAAATTTTAAGCATGTTTTGAGTAGAGAGAAAAAAAAAAAACTTCCGAAGTGTCAAATTTAAGCTAAAAAGAACTTAGATTGATAAATGGATGTGAAATAATACAAACTTCCAATATATTTTTGAAAAAAAAATTTTTTTGGAAATATCAGATTTCAGTTATAATGAACTTTTATTGATAAAAAATTTTGAGAATATTCTTTTTTTGTGTGTGCTTTAGATGGATGAGAAAACTTTAGAAGTAACAAGTTTATACTAAAAATGGATTTATGCTGATAAATGAATGCTGAAAGATACCAAATTTCATACATTTAATAAAAAAAAAAAAATTAGAGTGTCAAATAAAAACACTGTGCTGATTCAATCGCTTTTTTCTCAAGAGTTTAAAAATGTTAAATCAAAATTAACATGAAGCTTTTTTTTGATGAATAAATGGCAATATCATACGAATTTCAGAAGCATTTTTCCAAGAAATTCAAAAATATCAATCTTAGGCCGAAATGAACATACATTGATAATAAGTGTCAAAATTGGTGTTAATAAGAATTTCATTTTTTTTTAGAAAAACTTTAATAATATAAAAATTGAAGAAAATTAAAACTTTGTTGATAAATAAATCTTGACAAAAGTAATAAATTTTTTAAGAAAAAAATAATTGCATAACTATATCAGTTATTTATTAGCGCAATATTTATGAAAATCATTTATCTAACATTTTTTGTTTAAGAGAAATATTTGGATGTTGAATATTGCATACTGTATATATACCGTATCGTGTACAGTATGTCATACCGTAACGTGCTATTAGTTTGTGCGGCAGTGCGGCATACAGAATATATTAATACAACAATTAGTTTGTGAAAAAAATAACAATGCAAGAAATAGTTCGTTTTTTACATAAAACTCTTACGTTGCTTTTTTAATGATAAATTTAATTCATGTAATTGTTGAGCAGAAAGTTTTCAGGAAAAAAAAGAAAATTTTCAAAAATCATTACTTGAATAAAAGAATTGAATAAAAAAAATAAAAAGCTATATCCGGTTTTTCTTTCTTTTTACGTCATTTTCTTATCATGAAATAATATTAGTTTTGGAAATATTTTGTTAAATCACTGTGCAAAATAATAGCCTAAAAATAGTGCAAATTTGAAAATATTTATGAAATTGCTTTATTTATCAAAACTTTATAAATTCATATATTTAAACGGTTTCAGTTTCTTTTTTCTTTTTTTTTTTTTTTTTTTGAAAATAAGTAATTTGAGTATATTTTTTATAGTTTGTAATGTTGATTTTTTCCTTTTATTGATACTTTTCTTTTTAAATTAAAAATTTTTTTGCTAATATGTAAAGGAATGATAGAAATTCCCCTTTTGCAAATTTTGTAAAAAATTAACAAAGAAATTGCAAAATGAGGAAACAAAATTTAAAGGGACTCAAATTTCCTGCATTTTCTTCGTAGTTGGAAAATTATAATTTTAATTCTAACTTTCATTAATTCTTTCAACAAAAAGAAAGAAAACGGAAGATAGCAAAAATATGACTAAACTCATTTAATTAACACTAAAAAAAAATATAAAAAGAAAAAACAGATTTAAATAAGAATAAGTCAATGTAAAAAAAAAAAAAAAAAAACATGAACTAACATACCAAATTATTTCTAAAATTATTTGATGTAAATCTTTTAAATCAAAATAATAATCATTGGATTTCATTTGAAACTCAAATGCAATTCTCATTAAAGTAATGAAATGCAACCAATCATAGCATAATAA